GTTATTGCACTTTCTTATTTTAACAATAATTCATTTTATTTATTTCTAACATTTTTTGTGGTTAAATAAAAAGTCTACAGAATGACAGTTTCTTTACGCACCTAATTGTCAGAATAATAAATCACTACAATAGTTCAGATGCAGACTCAGTTTGGAATTTTTGGACGAATTTTTAACTTGTCTTCATTTGTTGCTTAAATATTTTGGTATCGTTTCATAATTTAACTTTGGAAAAACAAGCCTTTAACGACAGAATCGTGAGGACTAGGTCCTCCTCCTATCCTTTTAGTGAAGTGAATTAAAAATCCCTGTTAAGTGATCCCATTTGTGTACACGATTGATGCCCTCAGATGCCTCTGACACTTTAAACTCGTTGACCTGCTCGAAGTCTCTAGACCAGGGAGAACCCCGACTAATCGGCTTAAAAAAAAAGAAACCCTGCAGGTTATTCGACTGCAGCTAGTTTTGCCCTGCACTGTGTGACTTTTACAGGCCAAACACGTGCAGCTGAGTGAAATGTTCAACTTTGGACAGCAGCATGGATTCCTCAGCATGTTATCCGCAGGATGGTCACAACTGGACATTGTGATCTGACGTGTGTATCAGATCACAAGCAGCCAGCTGGAGAGAGCCAAACCTTCACCCTGAGCGCCTTCTCGCCTCTCAATCTGCAATTAAACTCGCCGTTTGTCCCTGAGGAGTTCAGCTGTAGATGCAGCCTTCACATGAGTACCAACCTGGATCAGCACAGCCTTGTGGTAGACGGAGGCTTTCGAAGGACGCCTCCAATCAAATAAAGTCCAAACTATGTGCTGTTTCAGTGTGTAGAGTCAGCATCTTAACTTATCAACTAAATAAACAGTTTTTAGAATCCAGTTTTTTCTGCACTGCAGGTTTCAGGACACTGTTTTGGATTTCCACTAAGTGCCATTTCAGTTTTTACAACTTTTCTGTGATATTTTACAAGACTACAAGTTAAATTCACCAGCAGGTTTCTAATCTTGTTGCACTAAAACGATGAATGGGATTAATCGATAGTTGAAATAAATGTCAACTAATTTACTTATCGATTAATTGTACATGGACTCACAAAAGGTAATTAAAAGAACAAAATGCTCAAGGGCAGAAATTAAGCAACAAATTGAAACAATAGAAACTTATATATATATATATAGACAGAGAGAGCATTTAAGTTAAAGAAAATAAACAGTTTACCTTTTGCTATCCAATTGTAATGTATTTTTTAGCTGCAGATGCATCTTCTGTTACTAATTATCAAGCTTTTTTTGTTTATCATTTTAAAAAGGAATTGAATTGTCTATTGGCATATTTTAATGAATTTCACATATTCTATAAAAAAGGATTAAATGGCAAAAGAAAAATCACCAGGGAAAATCTAACACTTTACTTCATTCCCAACAAAGTACAGTCAACATAAGACACAAAAGTGGCAGAATCATCCTGTGGGTCATGCACTATTTAAGCTTCACAGTGAAAATTTAAGAGGAATTTCTCTGGAATGCTGTTGGAAATTGTTGGTGGTTTTGAAAAGGCGACTTTTTCCAACTTTACACGCCTAAAGAAACACCAGTCAAGCTCTGACAAGTCTTCATAGGTGCCCCACTTGACGTCACACATATTAAATGTTTCACAAGCAACCAGCTGAGTTTTATGACATAATTCACTCCATGTTTGTATTCCAATTAATCTGAATCACACACCAACTTCACTCCTTCACCTCACAATGGAGATTAAAATGTCAAACACATAACTGACCGGGTCACAGCAAAGATACGGGAACATTTCCTCCGTTCTTCACGCTAAACGGCTCACCTCGATAGTAGATATTTCCGTGAATAACTCACCAAAGTGGCTGCGTCCCGGTGGTGAAGCTCCGGTCCGCCGGCTGCCAAGCTCCCCGCGACACCGCCGGGCTCCTCCGAGAATATTCCCGTAAACTAACCTGAGCCAGTCGCCTCGCCGCCGTCACTAAAGCCATTGGAAGAGGAGATAGGAGGCTATAAAATAAAGTCTTAAATATGCGAGCAGCGGCAGGTTCGGACTCTGCTGTACGGAGACCGACTAGCAAACGACACCTCAAAAGTTTGGTGTGGACTGAAGCTAAGCTAGCAGCCGGGCTAGCTCGTTTTAGCTGCGAGAAGTCACTCTGTCACTGTCGTCTTCATTGCGTAACATGTAACGTATGGCCGCTGCTGGCTGTATCAGGTTTAAATCAGTTAGCTGATTAGTCTGCCGCCCAGCAATGCCCGGGTTAGCGGTAAATACTCAAAGTAAGCAGACACTATCGACTGTAATCACACAGCGCTCTGGGTTATGCTGTCAATGTACAGTTGCTGAAGGTTTCCGCAGCTAGTTCCCCTTCAAAAAACAACAAAGAAATAGCACCGGCCGTCACCGTGGCCGCCATATTGTGACGGGCACTATTTTTATAAACGCCTGCAAATTGCGGTTCTTGCATCTGGGGTTGTAGTTGATTTGCCATAAATTATATAATAAAGTTGTACTTTGTCAGTGACTAACACCAAAGTCTTAACATTTATCCATGGCATCTTTTCTAATTCATTTATTGTTTGGTCATTATCCAAATTGGTGCCAAAACTTCCCCAGTTATTTTTATACTTATTACTTTCACATTATAATCCATTTTGTGAAGCGTGTAGTTTTTTTTTTTTTGTCACCCTCGCAGTGTGTTTGAGGTGTTGCCTTAAAATACACCCACATTTAATTCACAGAAATTTGATCTGAAATCACAATAATACAAAACAATATTCTGCACATGGCAAAATTACAGATTTAATATAATTATATAAATAGCACTTCTTTCTACAGAAAAAAAACATCTCTATAAGAATAGAATTTATTTCAGAGAACTTGCCACTCACAATATGGCGAATGAAAGAAACCTAATCTTTTCCATGTCTGTTAAAAACTGACTAAAAGCTTTAACAACAAATTTGGCCACCTTAGTCTATTTACTGTTATAATTGTATGCTTTTCAAATGTAACAAAATAGCAAAGCTATACATGCCAACTGGTTTGGATTTAATTTAAAAAATCATTTTATTTCACTTTAATTTTGAAAGCAAGATCAGGCTGCTTCCTGCTGATGTTTGATAACTTTATCCTGCCAACAGATAACCATCAACGCCTCTTTACGAGCATGCGCACGTTTTGCAATCCGAGGTTTCGATAATATTTACCAATGTCACGAACTAACCTGTCAACTGAGACTGACATTATTCATCAATGCAAGCATGTTGGCAGGTTTTCAGAAATGTAAACAGCAGGGAAACATCTTTGGTCGAACCAAACGTCCTATTTAAAGGCCACCCCCTTTTCGTCTGCCAGCCAATGGGAATTGGTTATGGGGCGCAAACACAGATGTCACATCTTATAGGTAACCTTGAACTTTTGAACCTTTTCAAATGAGGACAAAACTTGTTATTGGCCTCTGTGCCAGACAGGACTGAATTAAATGTCAGGGAATTTATGAATGACTGCAACGTAATTGATTCAAATAATCCATTCTATGATTTGAATGTAACTTAATGCAAATACAGCAAACTAAGCATAGGAATAATAAGGATAAGGAGGGAAAAATGTTCATACTTTTCCTTTATACTTTTTGTCATATTACAAACTCCAGACTTTTAAAGCTTTAGTCTGTTACTTTTATTGTCAGACTTCTTTTCATTTTGGAAAATTGCAATTGCAATCAAAATAACAGATTTTGTGATGCCAATTTATAAATGTTTGTAAAAAATTTTTAGGAAGTTTCTTATTGCTTTTCCATATTGATTACAGATTATTAATAATCAAGTAAGGCTGAGACCGATTTTGTGAAAATTTGCAGTAAAATGAGAAAATAATGAGAGATTTGTTGATTTTTTGTGATTTTTGCAGATTTGTTAAACAACTGGCAGGACCTATTGTCGAGAGGGCCACATAAAAAGCTCTGATGGGCCAGATTTGGCCCCTGAACCTCAAGTTTGACATGAGTTTCAACTAATATGTAAAAAATAGACATTTTTATAAAACATACACAATGCAGATTTAATGTATATTGCTGGTATGTTATAATAAATCAAAGCTAAACTCCACAATTATGAGCTAAATTGTATTTTTGAGGTTTTATTACTAAATCACCTTGAATCATTTTCCATCTATCTCTGGAAAAAATGAAATCTGATACAATGAACACATTGAACTTTGCAAACACAAAGTTCGGCACTATGTTTACCCCTAAACATTATGTTTTGCAGGAACATAATGTTATGACCTGTTCTTTCAGGTCATAAAGGCCGAGCAGCTGTCCAGGTAACTGATTCTCACACCTCAACTCTGGATTTCTGCAGCTCCTCCAGAGTTACCACATGCATCTTGCTGATTAATGCTGTTTTTGAGTAGCATGTTTTACAGCCTGATCCTGCTTTGAAGCTCATCTTATCTCAGACTTGTTTATCACCTTTATTGATAATGTTTGGTCTCACACGTCAGAAGAGCTGGATTTATATTGATTATATATTACCAATTAACTTTTTCACTAAGTTGTTATTAAAAATCCATGAATTGGTTAATTGGGCTTATATTTACATGATAAAATTGTTCAATCTAAATTATCTTTAGTGTAGTCTGCTGCTGTTTTCTGTAATTTCATGCTGCGGCCCAGTTTGCAAATATTGATTGAGCTTACATGAACCGGTGTGCCATTCAACTTTGCCATCTTTCAAAGACAAAAAAAATATGTTTTCAGCATGACCGCCTGCTGTAAGGGGAAAACTTGACTTTCATACCATTTAACTCACGGATCAGGACCTGCTGGCGTTTATCTTGGCTCCATTTACAGTGAATCACCATATCAGGTTATGAGGCTGAAAGCAAAGTCCAACAAATATCATCAGTAAGTTTCAATCACACTGGTATTAATCAGTAATCCTATGTACTGTAACAATAAAGGAATTTATGACAATGACTGGGACAGTATAAAAGCCAACCTTTTCTTTTGCTGGGTGCTCACAGTTCACCATTGCAGCCTCAGGTAAGCGCAGCATCTTTAAAGAGAGCAAACAGTGATCAATACTCTGATTAATGGTGATAAAATGTGTTTGTCAGGCACACAAAGAAACTTAAAAGTTGCGGTTTCTTTTACAGGATGTTAAAGTTTGCGTTGCTGTTCCTGACCCTGTCGGGTAAGAGCCTCATTTCTCACTGCAGCCATTTTTATTTTTTGAACTTAACACTCGCTTACTGTACATTTATTCAATATAGTGGGCCAAATTGGAAATCTTCTTAATTCAAGATATTTTTACTTTTCTATTAATTTATCTCTTGATTTTGATTTATTGCCATGCCAACATAACTGTGGCAAAGTGACGGCTAAACTTTGACCGTTATTGATTTATTAAAGATTACATAAATGACGCATTCATATCAGGAAGGTACAGTTGCAGGTTACTGATGTAACTGCTGGAAAAAGTCTTAATTTAATGTCAAATTATTAAGACTTTTGTTAAAATAATCAGGCATTCATTAAACTTTCCCTTCTATAACACATTATAGGTCTCCAAGCTCGTCCAATCAGAGCTCCTGGACAGCCGATGTCTTTGTCTGACCGTCACCCAGATGGCTTTAAGGGGAGCGTTGAACACGCTGGCATGCGTGAACGTGTTCCTGATGGATTCAGACAAGGAACGGAGCCGTCCAGGAAGTTTCTTGTTGACCTGAACACTGGACTTGTCAAAGAACACATCAGTGAGATGGAAAGGAGAGTTGGTGGGTACAGATACGACATCAAATCCTACCAAAAATATATATATTTGTGCAGGACCAGCCTATTGTGAATGCAGCTATAACAGATCATAAAACATTGCTAGTCTTCTATGTTTTTAGGATTGCTTAAAAAAACCTTTACATCAGCAATTCCTTCTTTTCTTCACAGTCCCTGACGACATTCCAGCCCAGAGAAGAGGAGCAGGTTGGGTTCGAGTGGAGAAACCCTCAACTGTTGATGTTCCTGGAAGTCTTAGACAAGAAACCAAGTCCAGAATGTCAATCCCTATTGGTTTTAGACAAGGAACCGAGCCAAAGATGTCCATCCCAGTTGCCTTTAGACAAGGAACCGAGCCAAAGATGACCATCCCAGTTGCCTTCAGACAGGGAACCGAGCCAAAGATGTCCATCCCAGTTGCCTTTAGACAGGGAACTGAACCAGAAATGTCCAACCTAATTGAGCTCAGAAAGGAAGCTCAGAAAAATATGCAGCTTCCAGTTGCTCTCAGACTGGAAACTGAACCAAAATGGTTAATGCCAATTGGTTTTAGACAAGGAACCGAGCCAAAGATGTCCATCCCAGTTGCCTTCAGACAAGGAACCGAGCCAAAGATGTCCATCCCAGTTGCCTTCAGACAGGGAACCGAGCCAAAGATGTCCATTCCAGTTGCCTTTAGACAGGGAACCGAGCCAAAGATGTCCATCCCAGTTGCCTTCAGACAGGAACCGAGCCAAAGATGTCCATTCCAGTTGCCTTTAGACAGGGAACCGAGCCAAAGATGTCCATCCCAGTTGCCTTTAGACAGGGAACCGAGCCAAAGATGTCCATCCCAGTTGCCTTCAGACAGGGAACCGAGCCAAAGATGTCCATTCCAGTTGCCTTCAGACAGGGAACCGAAAGATGTCCATCCAGTTGCCTTCAGACAGGGAACCGAGCCAAAGATGTCCATTCCAGTTGCCTTTAGACAGGGAACCGAGCCAAAGATGTCCATTCCAGTTGCCTTTAGACAGGGAACCGAGCCAAAGATGTCCATCCCAGTTGCCTTTAGACAGGGAACTGAGCCAAAGATGTCCATCCCAGTTGCCTTCAGACAAGGAACCGAGCCAGAAATGTCCAACCTAATTGAGCTCAGAAAGGAAGCTCAGAAAAATATGCAGCTTCCAGCTGCTCTCAGACAGGCAACTGGAGTCCAGACCCACAAAATGGCCTGTAACGGGGAGATCATCAGTGGAAAATGCTACCAGTTCAACCCCAATTTGCTGTCCTACAAAGATGCCCAGGTAAGTCTTCTTACAGGACTGTGAAAGTGTTTGCTACCTTACAGATTTCTTCTGCCTCTGTTGGTTTGTTTGATGTCATTTAAATGTTTCAGATCAAACAAATTTTAAAATCAAAACAAGTGACTAATTTATTGAGGTTAAAAAACCATCAAAACCAATGTGGTAAAATTTTAGAAATTAATTACATGATGACATCCACAATTAGTAATAAGTGCCTTACATCATTCATATACAGCCAGGCACAATATTAGAGATTTATTGACTTTACTGGTTTGGCAGTAATCAAAACTTCATAATTAAGTTCTGCATAACTCCTTACAGGAGTCATAAAACCCCAGTTGCTAAATGTTGCTTGAAACGATGTTTTCTTTCAAATCTGAAACATTTCCATTCTCTCCACTCCACAGGCCTTTTGCAGAAATCTGGCCCCCGATGCTGAGCTTGCCTCAATAACAAACAGAGACCTCCATTCCCGACTGGTTTCCCTGCTGACCAAAGGAGGCGAGAACAACCCTGTGTTGACCTGGTTGGGAGCCATCGTCAAGGTAAGTTATTTTCACAAACTGGAAGAAGAGGCAGACATCTCCCTCTCTATTGAAGGAATGTATCTACAAAACTTTTCTATCCAAGGACTGATGACGCAAAAGGAGGCCAAGGAGAGTGTCATCAGATAACTTATCAACAGAATATATTGTGTTATTCTTACCTTGGTGAAACATTGACCCTTGAACGTTTATTTGGAAGAGTTACAAACTTTCCTGTTTCTGGGAAAGGCCAAAATGTAAAAGCATGAGCATCCAGCTCCAAACTTAAGCTTTTTACATTTGTACATCAACAGGCAACAATCGTAATCTGGGGATCACTGGGAGTTTTAACAGGATGATGATCGAAAATACAGAGAATATCCCTGAAACATCACTATAAACATTCATCTACTACTAAAGTGCATCAATTTGGACACATTTAAAATAAAACACTTAAAGAATAACATCAACATTTTAAAATATGCTATGCTTGAATAAATACCTTCTGAGTAAACATTAAATGTACTTAAGTAAGAGTAGCACTACTTTGATATAGTTACATAAGTAAAAGGTTTTCCAATAGTTGAAGCAGGATAACATTAAATTTCTGAAGTTGCTAGTTCAAAAACATTCAAAATCTAAAATTCTAACTATTTCACAATTATAGATCGGTTGGCGTTATCCATTAAAAATGAACATTTATCTAAGAAAATATGCAAACTTTTGACTTCTAATGTTAATGAGGCTGTAAAATGTTTGCTTGGCGCCTCAGAACCAGCAGGCCTTGTGGGTCGACGGGTCAAAATGGAGCTACAGCGACTGGATGCCGGGACACCCCAACATTCACGCTGACAAACCCGCCTGTGTCCAGATGTTCAAGATCGGTGCGAAACACACAACGGGACAGAACCTCACCAGGAAACAAACTGAATCATAAATAAAATAAAAATCTGACTCATATTTCATCACTTTTATGTTTTGTGTCCTTACTCGTGTTTTCAGGTGAGAGCTGGTGGAGCGTGGCGGACTGTGAACTGAAGAGGGCGTCTCTCTGCTCGTACCCGGTCACTGCGTAAGAATCAAAGAAACAGAAAGTGATGTCAGATGTCTCGCCAACGGCAAAAGAGTATCTCCAAATCTGCTGTCGTCCTCAGATCGAGCTACTTACCGCATCACAACTGAATCTTCTGAAATAAAACCAAGCATGCCACAAATAAATGTTTACTTCGTTTTATTTTTCAGCTTTATTGTTCAATATTTTTTCCATAAAATGACAACAAAACGTCTTAATTTAGACAAGACTTTAATGATACTTTCCCACATGTGTATACAAAGCAGTTTGTACAGATTAGGGAGCCAAGGTAAAACAATTTTTAGTACCTAGAAAGTGCAAAAAGGACATTTAAAAGACGCTGAAATAAAAATCATGCTGTACATTATATATATTTATATATACTGTATTCATAAATAATCACAGATATACACACATCCATTTAGGTGACACTCACAGAGGACGCAGCTAAGACACAAAATAGTATTTCTGATTATTTTTTAAGTCCGATATCATTGGTTCCCGTGAGACTGCTAAGGTTGGACACGTGGAATGCTGCGTAAAGTCGTAAAGTCTCAGGGATAAATGGCTTCATGACAGATCTAGCTCTATTGTTGACACGACTGGCTTGAAGGCACTCCGTTTGTTGCAGTCGTGGAGCAGCTCAAACAGTGGTGAGAATGATAAAAAAAAATAATAACAATAATAAAAAGTACTCAGAAAACAATTGAAGCACCTTTCACAGAAATCTCAAAGAGGACGCAGCTTGGTGTCTGCACTCCCCCAAACTGTGACCTTTAAATAAAGTAGTAAATACAAATTACAGGAACAGAAAACAAAAATATGGTGCAAAAATAGCAAAGTCATCCATAGCTGCTTTATACTGCAGAGTAAATAACTCACTCATACTTTAACAAGGCATGCAAACCACACTTGATGCCCTGCAAAAAGAAAACTTCACCGATTATCAGTCATGATGAGAAACAGATATGAAAACATCAGAGGACGCTCTGTGCAGCGATGGAAGCAAATTAGTGAGCAGAAGGAAGACTAGAATCAGAGACAGGAAGAAGAAGGTCGACAGGCACGCCACGAAGGAGCTGTATTGCTAACACTGACATCTCATAAAGCCCTTTCTTCTCTTTCTTCTTCAACGAGTTAGAGGAATTTTAAAAAACATGCCAAGAGAATAAATCAGATATAAACAACTGCTACTCATAAATAAACGCAAATTCAAGTAACTCAAAAACATTCAGCCGGTTTTTTTCCTGTTAAATCGTCAAATGGATAATGTAGTGTTTAGTGACGAAACAAAAACGCTGATTCATCTCAGTGTTAATTAAAGTATACCTCGATAGAATTGTGTTTTTACAGTGCTGACCATTTTTACTGGCATCCCTGGTTAAGATGTGTATAAAAACTTACATCTTTCATTGCTGTAGCAAATTTTCAGAGTGAAACCCGACATTAAATGTGACTATTTTTTAATTCGGTGCTGATCTGGTGATATCATCATCCTTATTCTGACAAAATCTTCAGAAAGGAAAACTGTCAGGCTAACAGAAACTTCTTTAGTTTCAAACTCAAAGTTGCCCACATCTTCCCCAAAGTAACAACTCGAAATGCAGGATGGCAAAAAAATATCAAACATTCAATGCTATGAACATGGATTTTGCTGAATTTTACAGGGACTTTGGTTGGATGAGCATAAATTCAATCTTTTCTGCAACAACTTTTGTGTGTGAAACAAAGAATAAATATGAGAAAAAGAACATGAAGTACGACGCAGAACAAAAAAACGTTTTAAAATTTATGGCTTCACAGATTCTTAATTTAATTTGATGGACTTTTTAAACACCAGAAAACGTTGAACATCTGGTCAAATCAACTGGGTGGGAATTTGCTACTGCAATAAATGATCATTTTTATTCCTCATACATCTTTCCAGGTGTGCCAACAAATGCTTCTGTATACAGAAGCATAGAAGAAGGCATAGAGTTTAGTCTTTCTGCATAAGGCTGCATGGCGGCTAATCTCAGCCGACATAAACCTGTCAGACTCAAAAATAAAGGTCACTTGAAAGTAGATTTTAGAACAATGCTTCTCATGCACACACAGACACACACTAGTTTGATTGTTTAAAATAATGAGGAATGAAGAGGGAATAAGTAGTGTACCACAGCGCCAGCGCCTTGATGGTCGATTCAAAGCAGGAAAACAGAATAAAGATGGAGATGCAGGTTTTTATGAATCAAGCACCTGTTTAACTTGGGGGGAGTAATGGAGAAACTTAAAGGGATCTATAAAAATTAAAAGGAACCGGGTGTGAAGGGGAGGCGGGAGTGTGTGACTGGTCTGGGATCAGTTGCTCTCCTGCTGCGGGTTGTACTCCGTCTCCGTCGAGATCTGAGTCAGCCTCTTGCTGGAGCCCCACAGCTTTCGTGTGATCTGGTTCGATCGCATCTGAGAAGAGTGGAGGAAGGAGGGAGTAAAGAGGAGGCGGAGAGGAAGGTGTGAAGTCAAAAGAAATAAAAGAAGGAGGGAAAGGGACAAAAGAGGGATGTGATTCATGATACCAGCTTGATTGACTTGTGAGGTAATTAAAAAAACAATCAAGGCTTGATTCACTTCAGTGAGTCAATCTGGTCAAACAAAAATGAAGGAAAGTGAGAAGGTGCAATGATTGACATTTATGCAATTTTGGCACAAGATTATCCTTATTAGTTTTCTTCATCTTATGGCTTTAGTTTGCAGGAGTTTCACAGCATATCTGTTAATGTCCAACTGGACTCAAACACTAGAAAAACTGAATGAAATAAGAACGAAAAAAGTTGTTTTGATTTGATCCGTGTGGCTCAGACGTCAGTGTGTGTGTAGTGATTTCACAACAGCGGGTGACAACCGTCCCTGAGGAGGAGAGGCGAGTCTGTGGAGGAGTGAGCGGGTGTGTGTGTTTTATCTACAGCGATTACATGGGGGGGGATAAAATTAAAAAGAGATGCAACATGCTAGGGTCTCTGTGGGCTGGACGTGGGGCTGAACACCAGCTGGTCCCGCTGGTGGAGCAGCCGCGTTGGCGAGCGAGCTCGGAGCGGCGCCAGCAGCGGCGAGGCCATGAGCGGCGAGCCCTCCAGGCTCTGAGCGATGTAGTTCCTCAGAGAGTTCTTTACCTCCGCCGGCTTGCCCACGCCTACGATGATCAGCTTGCCGTCATCCAGGCCCACCAGGACGTGGCTCTGCTCCTTGGTGACGGAGACGCTGCGGACGGGAAGCCGCATGGCCATGGGCTCCGAGCAGAGAGCCAGGCTGCGCAGCAGAAACGCCCGAGGTTATCACAGTTAGCAAAAAACAACCAGATAACTGAAACCAAGAAAACATTTTCATTAATTTACATATATAAAAATGTTAATTATTGGGGAAAACTATAACTAACCAGAACAATATTGTGCATTTATACAACTAATTAAAACATGTTGAAATTAGAGACATAATCTGCGCCTAAAAATTTACTGAAGTATGTAAAAACTAAAATATTGATATCAGTTAATATCAATAATTATTGATTATTTTTTTGTTTTAAATCTCAAAAATACATCATTGACTCCATGCTGCTGTTTCTTTATTTTTAAGCAGTTATGAGGCGAAACCTTAAACTGCTGCTGCGCCACTTCCTCAACAGGGCTGTTGCTAGGTAACTACAGAATGAGCGAGTTGCTAGGTAACCACAGAGTGAGTGAGTTGCTCGGTAACCACAGAATGAGCGAGTTGCTAGGTAACCAAAGAGCGAGTGCGTAGAAGCCACCAACCTTGCTAAGTTAACTGTGAGAGATTTAGCAGCTAAAGCCTTTCCTCTGCCGACATCTCCCAGAATGCTTTGAGGGTCATTGAATATTTTATTAGCTGTCTGTTGATACTGATTATGCATCTATAGCTATAAATAGTTATAGATTTATTGTCCAGCCTTTAGTATAACTAATAAAAACTAAACTGAAACTGAAGAATATTCAATTTATATCAATAAAAACTAATTAAATTAGAGAAATAGTCACAACAAAATAAAACTTAAACCACAATGAAAAACCCAGAACTACTACAAACCTGGAAATGCCACAATAAATTGTGATGCATCATTCTCCCTTTGCATTTATGACCTAATTTGTCACTTAAATTCAAACAAAATGAAGTCTGCAGTTGTAAGAAGGAGGAGTTTTAATACTTGAATTAGTTGTCAGAGTCAGAGGTCTGACCAGAATCAAGAAGCTGTTTTGTTTACCTGTAGAGATCCCGGATGGACAGGAATCCCTGCTCACTCCCGATGATCACATACTCCCCTGAAACACACATATCCGTCACCTGCTCCTTCAGCCGCTCACTGGAGAGGTGCTTCCCGTTCACAGAGTAAAGATGTAGCGTGTTTTTATCCTGGAGAAAAAGCAGCAAACACACATCATAGCTCATATTCATGCAGCTCTAAAGCTCTGCTTTATATGTGTATAAGCATGGATTTACTTTGAGTGTGGCCTTGCCCTCCAGGCAGGTGTGGACCAGCAAGTGACCCTCCCAGGACACGGCCAAGTGGAGGATGGACAGTGGCAGGGAGCTATCGCACGGCGGCCGCAGGCAGCGCATGTACTGACCTCGACGCACGGTGTGGATGATCACCGTTCCGTCCTGCAGGAACAGGAACTGAGGTTACCTGAGGTAAGGTGGAAGTATTGTGCTTCTACTGACACAGCAAAAATCTGTAGAAGCTGGGAACCCCAAATAATTCAGTTTCTTTAAGGAGGTGTGAGCAAAACACTTGTGCGAGCACAAGTAAAGCCTGGCTGCCCGCCAGGCTTATAATACTGGGGGAAATCCTGAGGTTTTGCTCATGTTCTACTGAAAACTGAATATTGTTAAAAATAAGGTCTTCTTAGTCTGAGTTTGAAACTTTTAACCCTAAAATAATCAAACCTAGTTTACTCATGCTGGAATCGGTTAGATGTTGAATTGGTGTGGGTTCTGTTCACACCACTAGATGGCGACATCAGAAAACTTACTCTGGATCCAGAAACAGCCATATCCAGCTCAGTGCTGATGGCAACGCTCACCACCTCGTCCTGGTGTCCATACAGAACCTGGATAGGTTTGGACGACAGACCCACAGGAGCTCCACCCTTTAACAAACACAACACACACTTTATCACATGGAACACATGTTTTATTTATTTTTTGTGTCTCGGTAAAGACCCAACCTGCTGCAGAACCTGCCACACCATGCAGGTTGTGTCTCTGGAGCCAGAGATCAGGTGGATGCCACAGTGGTCTGTTGATAAGCAGGTAACAGCATCTGAAGGGTAAACACAATAAAACCAAACATCAAAATAGAATTTCAAGGGAAAAAAAAACAAATCCTGATCATTTTAGGCATTTATTCTTTACCCATGTGTCGGATGTGATGCCCCACCGTCTTGCCCTTGATCAGTGAGGTGACCCTAATGCTGTTGTCCCAGTGTCCGCCACTGAAGAGCAGCTTCCCGTCATGGGAGACGACAAACAGACCTGCTGTGAGGTCAACGCCAGGGGCAAATGGTCCTGACAGGGAGCGCTGGGTCCTACAATAAGAATTAAAAACAAGAAGGAAAAAAAAGGCAACTTTGCATGATTTCTATTTGAATTTTCACAGGAACCATTCATTATGTTCTGATACAATCCAAGCTTATTTGGATCTCAATTTCACTTACATATTCACATACGATCCAAAAGTTTAGGTGAGAAACAAATAATCAAATAGTTAAACCAACACAAGACAAAAAGAAAAGAAGAAAGGTGTAATTTGTAATAGAGTCCCTCTCTCCTTCATTCATTTTGTACACAAATCTGGATGACTTTTATATTCTTTTAGTAGCAGGTAAAATCCAAAACACAGCTCCATGTGTAATCGGTGCAGCATTCTCACTTGGTGTTGGACACTGTGGGGTCCTTAATGAAGGTGAAATAGTTGGAGATGTTCTTATTGTAAGGCAGCCACCCATGGGTCCCCAGCAGGCAGTTCTGGCTCACAGTCACCTGAAGGCACCACAAAGAAAACAAAATATTTAGACATCCAACTTTTCCACATCCAGTGTACTTTTTGAAGTATCTGTGCTCACCATGGTGTCAGGGCTTCCCTGGGTGATGAACGAATGGGACTGATTCTTTGGCACGACGGCTTTAACCAGCGGCACGTTGTCGCTGATGCCCTGTGTACGCGGGACGTTGACGAATAAGAACACGATGGAAGCATTTTGATTAAGTGAAGGGATTGGAAATACCTCAACAAAGAAGGACTTGAGGTCGCTGAGGTGTTCGAACATGTTGAGAGGACTCGAGTCCTGCTGAGCCTTCCTCTTCTCCACTTCCTCCTGAGAAAAGCGAACCGGATGGGGCTCCTGCGGCCAAAGCATAAAGTCAAGGTCCCTTTATTTTAAATATTTTGGGGATATTATGCATCAGACGGGTTCTGCACCTTAAGTAACTGGCAGGGGGTCTGACCAAAGTTGCTGATCATGCCTTCAACAGCTTTTCGCTCCTTTTCATCTGTGATTGCGTCCAAGTCCACAGCTCCTGCAAACACAGCAGGCTTAAAATGAAGACAGCTGATGACAAACGGATGGATGGATTGGCAAACAGCTAAAAAAAAAAAAAGCAAGATTCTCCATAACAGTAAGAATCTTGGATTTGACACCGGATCCGCCACCATGAGGAAGTGGAGCAAGCCTCCGACAAACAGTGTTTGTAGTTGGATTTACAAACATAAAACCAGGCGTAACTACCTTCCCCCCTTATGGATCTTTGATATGATTATTAATAAGTGTCATTTTGACAAAAAATGGGATGTTTACTACCACTTGATTGTATTTTACCATCTAAATGCTCAGTTTCTTACTGACAGTGTTGGACCATGATTTCCTATTATTTCCTCAAAAATCTCTCGTTAGCAATGATAAATGTTGGAGGTTCAGTTCCTCCAAATAAGGGTCGTGTGCTTCAGAACAAATAGCGACTGCTGATTGGTCAGTTGCTGACAAACACCCTGGAATGATTGACAGGTGACGGTAGGTCAGTTACTGGAGCTGCAGCGCGTCACCTTCGTAAGTGCAGTAGTAAAAGACGTTGAGTGCCTCCACAGCTGCCGGGCCCCTCTGTTTGTAACCAAAGATCAGATCGATCCACTCGTGGAGGTGGGCTGAGACGTACTCCGACTCCTAATAACGTAAACACACATGAGCTGCTGTTTGCAGTTACCCCACACCAGCAGCAGTCCAACCGGGCCTCACCAGAGCTTTGCGGTGCTTGTAGATGAAGTCCTCAGGGGATTTGGCCCATTTAGGGAGAACAACATTGTGTACCCTCTCCTTAGAGATCTGCAGGCGGCCTAGATCAAAATCTAATCAGATAAAAAATATGGAGGGTTAATATGGAACATAAAGAGGAGGTGTTAAAAAAAACTTATCAACTCACCATTCTGGTTCTCCAAAAATTCAGGGAAGTAGAAAAACTCTGGGATGAGCTCCTTGACATCGTTGGGGTTGTCCATGAGGGTTTGCCACGTCGCTGGGATGGAGTGGAACTGGCGGTCGGCGCAGTCAAACCTGAGACGAGTCAACGTGTGTGAGCGAAACCACTAGCAAGAAAGAAAGAGAGAGAGAAAGAGAAAGAGGGTGATGGAGAGCTAAACCATCCTCACCGTCCACTCTGCAGCTGGATGTGCAGCGATGTGAAGGGCTCCACTCGGATCATGTAGTGCATCACTCCAGCAGCATTAGAGTAGTGGGTACCATAATGGAAACGGTCTATGGTGCCTGTTGGGTCCTCAAAACTTTCATACCTAAAGGTGCACAATGAGAGGTTGAACGTCTTGGAACTGTTCAAAGGTTTTAAGGATGATACCTCAACAGGAAAATGATGAGTACTTCTCTCTGACTGCTTTAGCATTGCGTTCGTTCTGCACCGCCACCGGCTTCGATAAATCCCTGAACACCCGCGGGTCAGAGAGGTCCAGCTCCTCTGAGCTGTAGTCGGCTAGAATCCAGGGAAACTGGACAAACACACAACATTCCTTCAGATACTCGTACATCAACGATTTCACCGGGAGAAACCGAGTTCTGAACGTACCACTGGGTACTGCGAGAGGTCGTTGTACGTTCTGCCTGCAATAGTGTTGAGCTGCATTAAGTATTCAAAGTTGGAAATCTCTCGATTCACCCATTTCTGAAACAAGATGAAAAATGTACACTTAGAAACAGAAAATTAATTAAATTGTTTCATGTGGTTCTAACTGAGTAAGACCTTATTGGTAAAGCTGCACAAATATATCGTAAACAGATTTGTTCTTAAATTCAACCTATGAACTTTAGGTGTTACTGTGATATTTAGCTTCTTCAGGCATGTTTGAACCCATAGGATGACAAAGTTTTGCATGTTTCATCAACTCAAATAGAAGACTTTTTAAGACTCTTTTGAATTAAATTTAACACCTGTACCATGACAGAAATGTACAAAATTCATCCAGCTAACTGTCAAATAAATTTGGATAGATGCAAAACAGCTAGCTAGAAAGCTAGCAAGGGTACGTTAGCAGCCAGGTTGTGGTAGCATCAGCTGACTTGAGTCGCAGAACAAAAAGAAAACATCTGAGTGTGACTCAAACTTTTAAGGCTTTTTGAGGATCCACAGGAAACCTGATGGTATCATCAAGTTATTTTGCAGCGTGAAACAAAATTTGAATGTATGTAATTTGATCTGATCAAATAATATACATTTATATTACAGCATTTACATGTAATCAGCTGTTTTTTCACCTGTGTGAGTCCAGAGGCCTTCAGGAGCTCCTGAGGTGATCGAGTCCCATAAAGGCTGAGCGATCGCAGCAGCAGCATGCGGCTGTACACTTTGTTCCTCGCCTGTAATAAAAAAAAAAAAGAATTTAACAACTTTAATTATTTTTTTCTGGTTTTAAAAGATCAAGAAAGAGATATACACTCCTAGTAAATTGTATTACCTCTTTTTTAAAGTTCAGAAAATAATTGGTTTGGTCAATGAGGAAGATTTCAAGAGCTGAGCGACGCAGGTTGTATCGTCGGAGGTGGACCTCCCGGATCTGTGATAGCGGCCATTTAAAGTCGTGACCCACTCCTTAAAGAAACAGACGATTAAATCAAGAAGTTAACTTAGTTTTTCCACAGGTTCAGTCTTCTCCTCACCCTCCTCCTTCTCCTGGCTGCTGTCATAGAAGTAGATGTGCTGAGTGGTGAGCTCAAGGCGGCCTGGGACGACGTCCACCACCGTCACCAGCTCACAATCCTCCCACAACACCATTTTCTCCTTCTGACCCGCCTCCTCTGCTTCAGCCCTACAGGATACGGCAGAACAATACAGACAGATCAACATTGTATCTCAATTTCTATCATTTATAGAGGTGTTTGGTTATTTATCTGACTGGTTGCTAGTGGCAGCAGGGTCGTCCTCCGGCAGATCCAAGATGTCGTCCTCCAAGTCGCTGACTTTAACTTGCTTCACAGCTTCTAGCAGCAGAGACTCTGGATTCACACGCTGCTGATGGACGCCTGAGTGGATCACAGAGAGAAGACGGGATAGAACCTGCCTGGACTGACTCAAGCGACACCACAATAACGACGACACGTTTATCTTACCCAGGTTGTCTCTCAGAGCGCTGGCCTCTCGGTGAGGGTCAAAGTTGTAATTGCGAACCAGCTTCAGCCTCATTCTGGAGAAGTTTTCAGCACTGGAGACTCTCCAGTGCGTCTCGTCTTGTAGTCTATTGGAAATGGTTCAGAAATGAGAAATCGCTAGAAACTTTGCAATTGCAGAAACGCAACGATTTGAGGATTTAAAAAAGCTTCTCCAGATCCCAGACATGGAATCTGTTCATTCAAGCATAATACTTTCAGCTTTTTGATTTCTAGAAAATGAAAGGAGAAAAAGTGAAGAGAAGCGTAGTGCACCTGTCAGCCCAGGGGCCCCTTTCACACACCAAACCCCGCCGCGCTGCCTTCCACTGCCTGAGGGTGGCGTTGTTTTGGCTGTGTTGCTGCTTCAGCATGTTGTTGTAGCGCAGGTTTTCTTGCCGGCTGCGGCGCGAGAACGGCTCCACAAATTGTTCCTAGTGGCAGAAGACTTTGGTGAGTTTTTTGTTTTGTTTTGATTGTGTCATTGGAACGGTCGGCTCACCTGGAAGCGGATCTTGCTCTCCCCTCTTTCCCGTTCCCTCTTGTGCAAGCTGACCATGAAGGCCTCATAGCACTCCTTCCAGTACAGAGCCATGGTCTCATGACCCTGACTGAACATCTCGATTTCATACTGCTTCATGTACGGAATGATCTGCAAAAACAAAAGATCGTGTTTATTTCTGCATCACAAATCATGGGAAATAAATTCCTTAGCAGCAGAGATCTGAGTTTCGTACGTATTTGTCGAGGTAGACGCGCCACTCGGGCGAGTTGCAGTACAGCTTGAAGTCCTCGAAGAAAGACGGGCTGCCATTGGTGTCGGGCAGCTGAGGCAGGTGCAGCTCCATGTAGAGAAGGCGGTGGACTTTGGAGAGCAGCGTCCGCAGAACGGGAACCAGGAAAGAGTAGGTCTCCTCGGTTTGCTCTTGGATGGTTCGCCGCAGGATTCCCTCCAGCTTCCCCAGCAGGTAGCAGGCCTCGTCCTGACTTGACACTTCTTTAGTTTGCAGGATGCCGTTCAGTTTGGCTGAGGCCAACGCACACACCTGAGAAAGATTTAGGTCATTATTTATTTAATTTAATTCATATACAGTTTAAAATCAACATGACACACTTTGACATAAGCAAGGCATTTGAAGACATTTTAATTGAAAGGGTGACATGATATCATTGCAGTGCATTCATCTGTAAATAATGACACTTTTAAAGTGAAGTTGTATTAAAAGTGTCAACTTTGCATAAAAACTGAATTACTCCATGTTAGTCTTATAAAGTGTTACTGTTTTGAATGAAAAGGAGGAGTTGTATTTTCTATCCATTCTCTCAATCATTCATAGTTACACTGGATTTAAGTTTGTAAATATGAGGAAAAATTCACCTCTGTGTCTTCCTGAGCCATGAAGCCCAGTAGGAGTCTCAGTCCAACTTGGGAGAGCTGGAACCATTGGGTTCCAGCAGAGTACCACACCATGAGGCAGTCCATTAGTGTCACAGCTTCTTCTAGCACCTTATCGGTCCACAGCGTCGGGTTGACCAAACCCTCCGCCTGCAGGAAGTCCTGCACGATGTGAAGCAGGCGAACCGCGTTCTCAGTATGCTGTGGTAGCGAAGCAGCAGAGGCTTCCCGGTTATCAGTCACCGCCCACTCCAACATGCGCTCCAAGAGACTAGAAAAATAAAGCAACAGTTAATGAAGTTATCCTTAAAAAAATATTGGATACGATTCCCTGGACCGGATGCTGACCGGAGCTTGATCTGGTCGACAGGAAGCAGCAGCTCGTTGGCAGTCCCCAGTTTGGTGAGAGCTGAGAACACATGGCCACGCTCCAGCCACGCCGAGTCGTCCGAGCCCTCGACTCCTCGCCACATCACGCACAGGACGATCTCCAGCAGCATGCTGCAGAGCTCCTCCTCCGCCCTCTACAAGGCGCAAAGAGACAGACATTTCCTCACTGCATCATAAAATGAAGCTCCTTTATGGTCCAGTTACACCAGGGGATGCTGAAAATATCCTGCAGGTTTCTTTGGGGTAAAATCCCCAAAGGGTGCAGATGAAAGTGAACAGTGGTTCCCTGAGGAAGCAGTGATCTTTCATTCACTGTGATGGAAGCTCTTGCTGTTTAACACAGTCATAAAAAATGGCCAGTATTAGCTAAAACGCTAAGGTTAGCGAAAATTATGTCAGTAGCATGTGAGCTTTCTCTAGCATGTGGATTAACACTGTCTTACTGCATGATTTAGTATGATAAGAAATGAGCTAAAATGTCAGCATGAAGCCTATTGCTAGCATGCCAAAGAACTGCTTTGTTTGCATTTCTGCGGTTGGCCTAGTTAAAGTAGGGTTACGGTTGGGATTAGGCTAAGTGCAACAAAATAACGTTTCATACTTATTAAAGAGGAATTAAAACACACCAAATCTAAAATTATTCTAAAACTACTCATAATTTTCCTCTTCATAATTATGAACTGATGTGTGTTAGTTTAATCACATAAAATCCCAACAATACACAACCAATGTTTTGGCTAATATGTGACAAAAAGTGAAAAATTGGTGTGAATACTTCTTGTAAGGCAGTGTAACGTTAAAGCGATACTGGAAACCGACTAACCACAAGATCGACTTGGATGAGAATCTTTTCAAAGATCAAAACAGAAATAAAAATAAACCTGGAATCAGATTTTAAAAAGTCAAAAAATGAATCTGTCTGCTCTCACCTCAACGTTGCTGAAGGATTCCCCCAGTGAGATATTGTCACTAAAGAGGAATCCGTCTTCAGTAAAAGAAGACGTTGTCTCTCTATCCCCAGAGCTCCCAGGGAGAGGTTTGGCCGTTTCCAGGGGCGACGGCGTACTGGGCATGCTCCCTGGCGTTTGGTTGCCGCTCTCTGCACCCTCAAAGGCCTGAAGGTGCGACAGATCCAACGTCAAACCCCCCGATTTACCCAGCACCCACGGCTTGACCGGCAGCTGTGGCTCGGTGGAGGCAGAGGAAGACGGCGTGTCCAGCAGCGAGATGACGTCTCCGTTGTCCAGGCTGTCCACGGAGCGGGCGTCTCCCACGCTGAGACGATCGTCCTCCAGGCGGTCCAGTCGGCTGCTGCTGCCCGTCCGCGGCCTCCTTTCCAGCGGCAGCTCCAGGCGGTTATTGCTGCTGCCGCCGTTACGGTTTAAGTCGAAACTGCAGGTGCTGGCTGTATCGGAGCTGCGCAGGGTGAGGGACCCCTCGCCTCGCAAGTACAGGCGCATGAGCGTGTCCTGCCAACACTGCTGCTTTGAGATCTGATGGGCGGCGTCCTGTTGGGACTGAAGCAGCTGGTACACCTGAAGACAGGAGGTAAGGGGTTAAACTTTAAGAGTAACCTCTCTTAAAGGAGGGGCAGTATTATGTATTTACAGAGCGCCATTTTAAAGCACAATCAAGTAACTAGCTCATCTTTAGTTGTTAAAAATCAATAAATCAAGAGTATTTGTGCAGCACATTTCAGCAACAAGTCCGTTACATCACAAAAACACAAAATTCAACAACTGAAACATCAGATTTTTTCAGGTGCTGTCATTACACAAAAACATTTTGGTCAATATTTAATTTATTATGATTCAAAAGCAACTCTAACCAGGTGGGTTTTTAATCTAGATTTTCAGCTGTTCTACAATTTTCTGAAAGTTTGACCCAGATTTGTGATGCATAAAAGCTGAATGCTGCTTCTCTATGTTTGGTTCTGGTTCTTTTAAGCCAAATAGGACATACAGTATGTGACTTTATAATTTAACTCCATGAAATTGGACCTCTTTAAAAACTCCTGCTCTTTCTGAAACTCCGCCTTCAGAAAGTCATCACAACATGGCTCCTTTATGGCATTTCTACCAGCTTTAAACTGAGAAGTAGCTCATCTAATGAGCTCAGCAGATGTTTGCTAATTGCTGCTGTCTAGTCTGAAGGAACTGAATGGGGGAGGAGCAGCGTCTCGAAGGCAGGTCTACATTCACAGAAACATTTTGCACAGCTCAATGGTTGGATTTCTCAAACATGCATAAAAAAAAAAAATCAATGCGAAAATAAAATTATAACGTGATAAAAAAAAATCTCAAAAATCTGATTTTACATAGTACTGCCTCTTTAACTAGTTAAAGTGGTGCATATACATCACAATGTCATCAACAAACTGCGTTAGCTGCATTTCCTACCCTCTTGCAGACAATCAGACGCACGCTTGGCCCGGCCCGGTGTGTGAGCTGCACCAGAGCCATCAGGTCCTTGTAGTTCACAACTTGATCTGCAGAGTTAAACATTTGAGTTTATTTAATTTGAATTAATTGACCATCTTCAGACACACCCAAGTGAAAGTGGACGCTGACCTGTATGGAGGATCTGGTTGAGGAGACAGCGGATCAGGGTGGGAGTGATGTGAAGCTCAGAGAATACAAGCGACAGCCCCGTGTAGCCGGCCTCCCTCAGGCGCAGCCGCTGCTTGTTTCTTTCATAAACCCGGTCGCAGCGCAGCATCCGCTCAAACAGCTGCGAAGACACCATAAACTCACAGCATCTCTTGAAAGCAGCTCCCTCCTTCCTGCGTGGAGAGTACTCACCTTGAAGACGAGCTCCCTCAGTCGGTCTGAGTGCTTGTTGTTGAGCAGAAGCGTGTAGCAGGAATCTGCTGCTGTGGGCTCAAAGAGGAGCAGGAAGAGCTGGTCTTTGGCCGGGCTGCTCTGCAGGAGGCTGAGCAGCATCTCCAGGAGGCCGCACAGCTGCAAACAACACAGTCAAACTAGGAATGACCAAACCTGTCGCAATAAATCTATCAAAAAAATTCCTACTAGTGGTTTTGCTTTTATTTGTATTTTTCGGATTAATATTTTTTGAAGGGCAATTTTGTTTTCAGAGATGTTATAATCCATTATATTTACGGTTTTTAATTGTTTTGGACGTCGGAAATTTCCAATTCTTGGGTTGTTTATCGTTTGGAAAGTTTGAACCTGGTCTCTAGAGAATGAACCTGAATTATTGTTATTCCACTTGAAAATAGCTTTTCTATTGCAATAATTTATCATTGAGCAAAGTATGGAATTGTGACATACTTTGTTCTTGCCTACGAATGATTTTAGGTACAGTATATGAATGAACAAGGTTTCAGTTTAAAACTATTTTTAAATTCAATACCTTCTTAAAACGGAAATTGTAGCTAAGCAAATAAAATGTAACTTTATCAACTTATTGAGCCCATTCCTGTATGTTTCTGACATGCGATTAATCGATCTTAGTTAACTTCAGTAGTAATATTTAATCACAAATGAACAAAAACACTAAAGCTGGGGTTTATTTTGTGATTATAATAACAGAAATAAATGTAGATTATTATGCATCTGCGTAATAATCAGTAAAGGTCAAAGTTGCTCTTAGAGATCTGAATAAATTCACCTGGTCTTCATCTCCAATGGCAGCAATGTATCCCAGAATGCTGTGCATCTCTTCCTGCGACATGCCCTTGCTGATGTAATACTTGACGAGGCCACAGAGAGACGCTCTGATGGTCCGAACGTCATCGTCGCTCAGGTCGTTCTCCTTGTTGGCGTTCTTCCTGAAGCGTGGAGCAGATGATGATCAGCTTTTCCAGACTGAAACAAAAACGTCTAAACTTCTGCAACGTACCCGTAATACAGCCGCATGGTGTCCAGCAGAAACTGGACTCCATATTTCTTTCTGAACTGCTTCCTGTCGTCCTTGATGACTGTGGACATGTACTGGATGTGACCTTGGGGAAAAACAGGGAAAGGTTAAATCGGGCAAACGTCTCCCTCTTCCCGGAGTAGGTAAACCATCCAGGCCTCACCGATGCGCAGAGGGAAATCTCCTTTGTTCCAGATGTTGAAGTTGAACAGCAGATGTGAGTGGATCTGCTGCAGCAGAGCCTGGTTCTTCTCATAGGTCACCTGCTCAATCAGCAGCTGCACAGCCACCAGCACGCTGACGTCCACATGACCCGCTGGAAGCTGAAACCAAACAAAACAACATCCGGGCCATTAGCTTAAATCTGCACACTTCCTGATTGGCACAAAACGAGCCATTTAAAACACTAACACAAGCCAAGGTACCAAACTCGAGCTTTATAAGGCAATGTGAAACCCAAGAAACAAGATAAAGAACAAGCAGGAGAAGGAAAACACATCAATGTTTTATTTGGACCGTTACCAGTCACTGGGTGTGGCCAACTCTACCAAAAACAACTTTCACCACATCTGAGACACTTTCATTTTTATCTGTGTCTCTGTGGAGGCTTTTATTTTCCCATAACAACAATACTAATAGAGACATGTCTATATTGCTGAACTAACAAACAGAGCTGCAATTATACCAGACAAGGGAAAGAAAAGGATCAGGCAGGAAAAAAGAAGCAAGAGGCGAGGACAAAAATTGTAAATTCAGGGCGCAAAAAAGTACTTTATCACTTAATTCAAAGTACTCAAAGAAAGTGGCACTTATTTAAATGAATAACTACTAAATAATACTAAATATGTGGATTGAACTTCACAATATGCAACTGAATATGACAGTAGGGACTGTAGTGGTAGTTTTAACTGATTTAAATTCTGTAATTGTTGCAAATTGGTGCTAAATAGATGAAATTAGAAAAAGAGCATATTTTTGTGAACCAGTTCTTATGGAGGGACCTTTTGCAGCAGGACTCCCAGCGTTCCCACGCCGTACGAGTGAAGCAGGTTCTCCTGGTTGATCGGGTGTCTCTGCAGGAAGTGCTTCAGCACCAAAAGGAAAGTGGCCACCAGGTTCTTCTCCAGGCGCGCCTCTGTGATGGAGAAGAAATTACGTTTCTGTCAACATGTCGCAACACGCCGCCTTCCCTGCACAGACTGTCAGAACAGACCTGAAGCTCTGTTGGACGGAAGAATGACCCAGTCCCCGTCAGCTGGGGTGCTCACATCTGGCGTGATGAAGTCTGATGCAGCTGCAGGATCGGCACTCTGCTGGTCAGGAGTCACGGAGGTCAGCTGCTCCAGCACTGGGAAAAGCACCGGCAGCCCTCCAACACAGTTGATCATATCCTGTCCCACACAAAAAAAAAATAAGCAGAAACTTTAGTAAACCTTTTAAAAATGAACTCTGTTAGAATAAAAATGCGTCGCTCTGACCTTTATGTCCCAGTTGACCACTTTATTCCCAGTCAGACGTCCATGCAGCGCGTTGGGAGAAAGGTCAAGACAGATGGGATTTCTACAGGCCTGTCGACAGGAAAGGGAACATCGAGTTTATATGTGGCACTTTGTTTAATCTTTGATGAAGCCATGTAATCCCGGGATTTAAAGATCTGAGAGGAAAAGCGGTTTGATCACCTTGGGTGAATAATGCAGCAGCAGTTTGGCTGAAATGTCACCGAGTTCTGATTCCTGGGCTTTAAATGGAGAGATGCAGTTTGGACCTGGAAGCACCAGAGAAAAAGAAACAAAAATCCTCTTATCTTTGTTTGCAGTTGTTGTCATCACAGTTTTTCTCCACAAGACTGTCCAGATCGAGCTTTCTAGTTCTTTTATTTTATCATTTAAATAATTTAAAAATTCACTATCAATTTATCAAAAATATTCCTGCAGTGAGTTTTACATTGGAAGGAAGGAAAGAAAGAATGAACAAAGACAAAAGAAACAAGGAAAAAACACAATAAACTGAAGAAGGAAGAAAGGAAAGAAAAAACAAAGAAGTAGGGAAGGGAAGAAGAAGAGGAGGAAAGGATGAACAGTTGACAAAAAAGACAAAACATGATGAAGGACAGAAGAAAAGACGAAGGACAGAAGGACACAAGGAAGAAAGGAGAGGTAGGAAATGAACAATAGTGTATGAGAAAAAGGAAGGAAGAACCGACACAAGGAGGAAGCAGCTAATATTTTGGCCACATGAGAGAGAATAAGGCCTGAAAATAAACGCATCACTTCCTGCCTACCGGCGCTGCAGATGGCCTTGATGTGCGCCGGCTGCAGCGGCTCATGAAACACCATGACGCTCCCCAGCTGGCCCTGCAGCGACGTGGGGCTGCCCCACTCGCTGTCCTGCGTCCCGGCTGAGATCAGCTTGGTGACCGACTCGGGCTTCCCGCCCAGCAGCCCGCCCCACACCTGCGGCGACAGGATGCCGCTCAACGAGGAGCGAGCGGTGGGCGTGGCGGCGGAGAAGAAGGGCGGGTCGGGGATCTGGGAGGGAGGGGGCGTGGTGGTGCGTTGGCCGGCGGAGCCAATGCAGCAGGAGATGAACGGCTGCAGACGGAGGACAAAAAAATACAAAAGCACTTAAAACAGAATCATATTCACAACCTTTAAAATGTGCAATTTTAGTTTAGTTTGGACATTAAAATACATATTTGGGGGAAAAAAGGGGCTTATAATGCAATCCTTCATAAGTTGTATTTCAGAAATTTATAACCAATCAATTATTAATTCATTTATTTTGAAAAGACCAATGTAAAAGCAAGAAAGAAAAAAATAAATTAAATAAGAATTAAATTATCAAACCTAATTGACATGCAATTTTATATCATCTGTTTCAAAAGGAGCAGGTAGAAGATACAAGATGTTATGATTTTCTGCTCATCATTTAAATCTCCAAAAACCAATAAACTTAAATTATTTCCACATTACATGGCACTTAGATCTCACATTCTAAAGAATATGTAACAATTCATACCTCATCTAATTAGGAGAGGATGCACCGAGCCACTTTTTTTATTTCTGATATTTGAGGTTTAGTGTCAGAAAAATACAATAAAGAAAAACAGCTGAACTGATTTAAAATGTTCTACAGACATAAAAACACCAAATTACAAATGTACTTAATAATCACTACACTTCAATAGCTTCCCCAGCTCCGTCCAACATGTAAAAGCAAAATGCAGAAAAGTGTTAAATTGGCTCAGAAAGTGCAATCAGGAACACGAAATCTAATGTAAAACAAATTATAAAGCACCAAGCATAGAATTAGACTGAATAGATCTGCCCTTAATGATTGGGTACATTGATCTAGAATTGTTTTCAATATCGTTACCGATGCAGGTAATAGCATCAGGTCTGTGCATCTGTACAAATTAGATATGTAAACGTCTCCACGGTGATTTAGTGTTTGGTGTGACGTAGTTTTGATCTCACCTCTGTCATGATGGGATACTTGAGGGGGGCGGACAGTTTCTGCTGCCCGTCTACGTAAATGTAGACGAGGCTCTGTCCGAACGGCCTCTTCCCGGGTACGTGCACCACTCCGACGCTGTGCTGCAAAACACAAATCACAGCACCTTTAATTCCACGCTGCTCTACTGTTATGAAGTTAAATCAAAGGCTCATTTTCAGCCGCCGTACCCAGAGCGAGTCGCAGAAACAGTAATCCGGCAGCATCACGGTGACGTACTCCTTCTTTGTGCACACAGCCGCCACCAGAACCCCCGCTGAGCTGATGAACGCCTCAAAGCCTGTTCCTCCAGGGGTGAAAAAGCTGGAAAGAAATGTAGCAATTGGACAATAGCAGGTCTATCATATAGATACTTATTTTGCAGGATGCATGTAAATAGTGAGAAAACAAAAAGGCAACCAATGAAGTAACAGAAGCAGAAAATATTGTGGAGAAACATCAATCAAGCAATAATAATAACAATGATGATAAATCAAGAAACGATCTGAGAGGCAGGTAAATGTCATAATTTATAAATAAAGTAAGGATCATATGAAATATATATTACATTATTTTACATTGAAATGTGTTCAAGGAGTAAATTTTTCAAATGTGTCTGACTGATGGTGGTCATTATCTAATAAATATCTAATAAATTCTAATTCAAATATGCTTTATTAAGCCCAGAGGGAAAATAAATGTTGTTGTAACTCATCAATGTAGATTCTTCAAAGAGTTATTGAAGATGGTGATGGATGCTGGCAGGAAAAGTTTTCATTAATGTTTTCCTGACCTGTAGAGCTGCTTTCGCTTGTCTTTGCTGAGCGGACCCAGCTGGTCCTGGTCCAGAGACAACCAGGCGTGGAAGCTGAAGGCGGAGCCGGGCCAACGCTGCACCGTGGGAACAACAATCCCTGCCATGCTGGGGGACAGGTCGAAGTACTGCATGGCATTCTCCAGTCCCTGCTTGCGGACCATGGTGAGCAGCGCCCTCAGGGCCGGCGCGACGTACGGATGAGCTTGGCTGGACTCTGCGGTTCTGAGGAGGCGGATGAGTCCCAGCAGCTCCCTGCCGCTCAGAGACTGGGAGCCCAGTGAGCCCAGCAAGCCGAACAGGCTTTCTGCGCAGGCTCTGTGCAGACGCCCGTGGTGCTCCAGAGCAGCCAGGGCTCTCACCACCATGGCGGCGTTGACGCAAGTGGCGCGCGTCTGACGGTTGAGGCAGCAGAGGCGGCGCAGCCAGTCGGCCGTGAAGAGCTGCAGTTCGGGTGAGTCCAACTCCGGGAGCCACTGGACCAGCAGCAGCAGCGGCTCCACGTTGCTGATCCCCAGGAGCCCCACTGAGGTGTGCTCCCCCTCCACCGACTGGACGACGAGCAAAGACAAAGAGAGTTCAGAGAAGAAACGAGGTCCAGTCAAAGTAAATACACAAACTCACCATGTTCATCAGCTCCTTAAGCAGGAGTCGAGACGGCTGGCCGAGAGAGATCAGAACTTCGTACAGGTGATTGTAACCAATCCTTTCCTTGAAAACCTCCTGGAGATGCAACAGAGCAACCACTGATGAGTCAACCCAATAATAAGGTCCGATTTGTAAATGATGTCTCATTGCAGCACCCTTCATATTTATCGGCACCCCGGGTTAATGGTGCATTCAGTATTGAGCGTCATCTGGATTACATTCAAAGTCTAAGTAGAGCTGAAGGCCATTGCGGCACTATTTGAACCGCTTGGAGCGTTTGATGCGTCCAAACAGACTTTGAATGTAAACCAGTCGCACCTGAAAGCACGTTTGGTGTGACCGCACCATCACTGCCTTTGATGAAATATTCAGTATCAGCTAAAATAATGGACTTGTGCCACCACTCTCGCTCCATTCAGTATGTTAAAATGAGCATTTAACACACAATTAGCTCAAATGCTAATGTTAGCATGAGAGCTACAGCCAGCATAGCAATGTTTAGTTCTCCTTGGCTCCAAATAAAAGTATATTAGTACTTTAGAATGATCTCATGATCTTGGCAGCGTTGATGCAAGAACTTTGGGTTTGTTGGTTGTCCTATTAACAACCCCAAAAATAAAAGTATCCTTAGAAGCTAAATATAAACACTCAAGTATTTTGACTATAAATCCAAACCCTAATTTCAGTACATTTGTGCAGCAGAGAAAACACCCATGTATTGTTTTTAATGAGCACTGAGTGCTCTGAACACATTTATTGCTACCCAATTTAGATCATCTGTCGTTTTCTACATGATTTAGCTCTTTGGACTGAGACGGCCATTACAGAAGCTTGATTTTATGTCTGCTAAACCAGTTCCATCATGATTTAGCCATGTGTTTTAGATCATTATTCTCTTAAAAAGGCCAACTACCAGTTAGCTGGCAGAACCCACCAGACGTCTATTTACTTTTATTTCATTTCTGTGTTGAGCTTTAGAAGCGTTGCACTCTAACAAGTTCCCAGAGGATTTGGAAGTGAAATAATCTCACAAAATAACCGATCCTCCACCGTATCTCTGGATTGAGCACATAAACCCTCAACCTAATTGTTTGGAAGTGGAGCATTTGCACTATTTAAAACCTAAGGTGGAAACTTTCAATGCTGTCTGACAAAAATACATTTTAAAAATAAAATAACCTTTAAAACTGCAACAAAAAAGTAAAAACACTGCAGACATAAAAAAAGAAACACTCTAATCCTATTAAATTATGATATTTAAGAGCAGTAAGAACAATCATCAGTTTTCTTTTCAGTCTGAAGATTAAATGCATAAAAGTTTTTTGTACATATTATGTATGTCTTATTAAAAGATTGAAAATTGCTAATAGAAAAGCTAAATATATTTGAATTAATGTGGAAAAATAAACAGTTCCCCACAAAATTGATTTAGTGAATCAGTTTTTTGATCCACAGAAAATGCATTTATCATTCTTTGAATCAATAATGGAGACAAACTTTTGTGTAAATGTCATGTTCTCTTCTCTTTTTGCTTTTAAAGCTAAAACAAACGGATCAAAGTAATTTATTAGCAATTAAAAGTTCCTAGACACTTTGTCAACTTAAAACGTAAAACTGCAATATATCCAGTGATATTTATCTGAGCGTTAAGATATTTTTAAGTGTAATTCTGGCTGCATCATGCTGTGGGGTGGCGATGAAGATGGAGAGCACCATATATCCTCCAAGTGAGACAGACCTTAGCAGCTGGGGATTTATGCATAACCGTCGTCAGGGCTTTGATGGTGGCTACTGCTAACGAGTCAAGGCGTCCCTGGATGACCTGAAAACAAGCAAACATTTCAGTCACTCACTCCAAAGAGAAAAAGAGAAAGTAGTGATGTGATATTTTTATTACAAACAGATGTTATGAATGAACAAGCATGCAGAGAATTACAACAATCCACTGATTCAGACCCTGACATACAATAGATATGTAGCGATGCCTTTGCGTTTGATTCAGCCAATGTGAGAGGAGTGAGTAAAATCATCAATAAATGGATTTTAGCCGCCATCGGTCGCTGCAGTAGGAGCTGGCATCAAAACCCCTCCTACAGATAAATGATGTCTTTCTGCTCCAGGCAGAAAAAAAAAAAGAATAGAGGTGTGACTGGAGCAGGAAGCTAACACTAACCACAACAAAGAAAGTACCCGACAACATGAACACACTCAGCATGCAGCCCACAGACCCGAGCAGGACGCAAACACACCCCTCATCCAGACTCATGTTTATCAAACAGAGAAAGAGTCGAACCAGCTGGACAGGGAATCCTCATCAAACCACTGGATTTTACACACAAGCCCATTGTGACAGAACTCCAGGTGAACCCAAGACCATGTGAAAGGGAGGAGGGGGAACAAACTGAAAAATGGTTGTGAAGAAGGCAAATAAGTCACTTCACAGCAAGAAACCACAACTGCAGAGCAACTTCTGGCTCTCTTCTCACAACGACTTTTAAACCTGAATTTCTGCTTCTGGACACCAGGAAGCACCTGATGTTTTACACCTGGTGAGTCACATCAGAGTGCGTCCCTCTGAAGGCTTTCACACATTTAGATAAACTGAGTCTCACTAAGTAGCTCTGGTTTAGTTTATTCTTGAAATAAGACGAAACAAACTTACAAGTAACTTCTCAGCTTCTTTTAAGTCAATAAATTCATAATATTGATGAAACCGTTGCAGTTTCTCTGGCAAATTATTATATGTAAAATATTTTTTGTAACCAAGTATAAGTCATATTGTGACGTTTTTGGAAAACAGACAAAAAATAAACCATGAATAAAATATGGAAAAAAATACAGATGTTAGACCTTGATTGATGTTCTGGTAGACTGAAGATGTGCACATATTTCAATTTGGCCAAAATATTATTTAATTATGCTATGAAGCTTAAATTATAACTTATAAGCTTTTCATACATTTTAAGGAGTTACTGACTTAAAACTATACCATAAACTTAATTGTAAGTTGGTCTTGCCCTGTTTCAAGTGTACTAGAAACAATACAAATATACTTTGTAAAATTTTGTTTTTGCAAAATCTAAAACTTAAATTACAAAGCAATAAATTATAAACTGAAAATAATCAAAGGAAGGCCTGTTTTCTCTCTTAGAAGCCTTAGTTTTTGTCCTTTAGAAAACGACACAAGCTAACAACATGAAGAGAGTTATCCTGTGAAGCATGGCAGATGGACGGTCTTGCTGTGGAGTGGCATGGTGGGATTTGGCAGCAACAGATGAGGATGAGGGCAGGGGGACTTTTTCTCGGCAGTACCTGAGTGTCCCTCTCTCCTGTCTGTAACTTGCTGTTGGTTATATCTTTCTGGTCCTTGTCTGCCGCCGTGCACCTAGCGTTAACCAGCTGACACACAACAGGCAACATGTCAACTCAGTGTGAGGCGAGAGGAGGCAAAGAGAAGGAGGAGACGATGAGGGGGGGAGGTTTAGAGGATGGAAAGGAGGAAAAGGTGAGAGGTTAAAAGCGGTGAACTTCTGCAGGGTGTCAGTGATCCGGCCTTGTTGTGAGAAAATAAACATGCACGGTGTTGCAAAATGCTCCCGCTGACGCTAAACCTTTGACAAGAGCGAGGTCAGACATGGAAAGAGATTTTGAATTCAAAAGATCTAACAGTCACAGTCAGAAAAAAGAAAGCTGGAAGTTTATTCTAAACATTTTGTCATTAAAACCTGGGTGTTACAGCTTCAAAATGAAATCTCCAGTTTCTTTCAATTCAGATCTAATTTCAATCTATTTTTCATTAATTATGATATTACAGTCATTTTAGCTGGAAAAGTTGCAATTTCACCATAAAAAAAAAGTAAAGTTATCAGGATCTAACGTAACCAGCTCAGTTTATTTCGTTCATTATTCAAAACACAGAGTCGTTTTAAAGTCCTGTATTGATAATTTAATGTTGATGCGTTAAAAGAGTCACTACTTCAACGCAGCAGGATTTGTAAAACTAATACCAAATCCTCAACATTCCTCATTGTAATTTTCTGCTTTTTTTTGTTGGGAGTCAAAAAACTTTCCTGTCCTGATTTTATCATTTGATTCTTGTAATTATAGAATTATAAAACACGCTTGTCAAACAAGATGGCGGTAGATGTCACTCTGAACCAAACATTAACCCTCTCAGGCTCAAATTACTTGCAAAGACTAGCAAAGTAGCATTTAGCTGTTGCAAATCTGTAACATCTGTCTGGAGAGGGTAAAACAAAACTTCTATCAATCGATAAAATTGATTTATCTTGTTACAAGCGCAGACATGGGTTTAAATTTGTGGTTGTAGTGAAACAATTTAAAACTGTTGATGTTTTGCCGCGTTAAATCTGAAATGCGGCACAGTAAATGTAAATTCTGGTTATTTTTGGCCGCTCTGAGCTGCGTCTCCAGGCCTTACCTGGCTGTTCTGCAGCAGGCGTATCAGATGCTCAAAGCAGTTACTGTTGAGGAAGATGGCTTGTAGAACCGGTCTGTCAGAACACAGAAACATGTCCCTGATCGTGTCTGAAAGCCAGAAACATGAGGAATCAACACACAGAGAAACACAGAACAAATTATTGCTGTTTATATCTGGGTGAAGAAACTACCGAGCATGTGAACTTGCAGCGCCACAAATCGAATCTCCCAGTGTCGGCCGAGTGTGGGAACCCGACCCTTGGCTGGTTGCTGCTGTTGCTTAGCAGCGACCACAGCAGCTGGGTCCGAGTTGAGCAGCTTGAAGTAGTTTTCCAAGACGGAGGCGATCTCCACCTGCCGCTGGTCAGAGCTGGAGGCCAGCAGGCACTGCACCACCTCCCTGAGGCACCCCAACGTCAGCAGGGCCATGCGGCTGACGTCATCGCTGTCCCAGTCCTCGGCTTCATCCGATGAGCAGCTCCCCGTGTAGCTGTCGGCCAGAACCCGCATCAGCACCTCCATGGTGGCCGGAGAGATGGCGAGCAGAGCGTTCCTCTGCAGGCAGAGAAAGAAGACGGGATGCTCTTTTCACCACAAACTTCAATTAATGTACGTTTACATTATGTTTTCATGTTGCATAAAAAACACAAAGAGTGACAGTGAAGTTGGAAGAAAATTTGTTTATGTCTTGTTCTTGAGAAAATATAGTAGCAAACATTTATATTCAATCCCTTTTGAATATAAATACAAAAAATATAGTGATAATGCTAGCTGAAATTTTTGTAACCATGACGATGGCTTGAGTGAAGTTGCCCCTCCCACCATCTTCAAGTTAAATAAAACTAAACTGTTTAAATAAAAACAGCATGCCATCCTTGTGACCTCTGACCCCAGCCTCACCTGATCCCCTGCTACTATGGCTCCAAACAGGTGCAGCAGGCAGCATTTCAGGCTCTCCTTCAGATGTTCGCTCTCCTGGAAGCACTCTAAACCAAAAAAAAAAACTAACATAAATCAACATATTTGATCTACTAAACTTGAACTAAGCAGGTTCCTGTCATTTTCTCCAAACAAAAACAGTCAAGCATGAAAAGCCAATGGAATCTGTAACCCAGATATCATCCAGAGTGAACAAACACACTGCAGCCGCACCACTAACTTTAGAGTTTGGTCATCTATTAACCCATCTGTCAACACATCTGGCTGAGGAATGAAATCTGACATTGTGGCTCCAGGATGTCTACTTCCTTTACCTTCAACTAGTTACCAAGCAGAAGTCACCAAAACAGCATAAAACAGAGATGACAGGCTAATTGGGCGGGCCCCAAGCGTTATCTTTTCTGCAAAACCACAGCAGCCGCGCATACGACACAGGACAGAAGAGCCTCTTTGTTCAACATGGCTGCCAGATTTTACTATCTGCTCATCTCATCCCTGGCAATCGGACCGGAGGCACAGAGTGGATTCAATAAGAAAAGCAGACGAAACAGAAGAGGGAGGCTTATGTTGTGCACTTGTTACAACTTCCTCATCTGCACCTGTCGAGTCATATGAGAGAGGATGATAAGGTGCTTTTCACCCACCAACCGTGAGATTATCACCATCGTTTGCTTGGTCATCAGATTACGTCACGTTTGTTGGAGATATTTACGGTAAAAGAAGGGAACAAATTCAACGGTGAGCGGAGCTGCTTTGTACTTCTGCCTTCCCCTCTCAACGGCGCCCAGCTGCTCCCTGCGGAGAAAGAAGAGGAGAAATCAAAACCAAAAGCCAAATTAATCATGTACTAAATTTATAAGTATATAAATTATCAAATTATAAACCAGGAAATAAAGACAAATGGCAGCTGTTCGTTTATGAGCTTAAAAAAAGAAACCAATAATATCATTACTGTTCATTTTTTTAATGTTATAAAATGCTGAGATCATATCAATCTTTTTACATAGATAAAATATTTCCTGCTAACATATTTTCTCAGAATGCATTAGAATAAATATGTAATAAAGTTTAATTATGAGCTAATTAAAACTGAAGTACTCTGTGTAGAAGTGCTTTAATTCACATTCTTTATTATATTCAAGCCCAAACTTTGACTAGGCCCCTTCAAAATGTTATTTTTATAGGCATTCAAAGACTGATTCGCTTTTGTTTATTATCCTGCTTAATACTTAGGAGTGAATAAGATTTTGTTTTCTGTCAAGAGCAACATTTCTGGTTCCATCATCAACTGGAAATGAACCATAAATCAGACTGCAGATTATTTACTGTCAACAGTGGTTCTCATCTTGTAACTGGAGTCAAGAAAAAAGTTCAAGCTCAGGTTTGACTTGGATATCAAACAGAATTTATAAAATGCACTCTAAAAAAACAAAAAAACAGAAAATAGCCTGTAAAATTAGCTTATTATTAACCAGTACCCACGTAAATAACTAGCGAAAAACTAGTATTTGAGTGGTTACCTGCTTGTCCGATGTCTCCAGTTGCGGTATGGATCGTAGAGGCTCTCGCAGAACGCCAGAGAATGGCGGACAAAGTCCTCCGCCTGACTGTGGTCCATCATCTCCTTCTCCTTGGTCCGACTCTTTAGCTGTAAGCCAACAAACAGAAAACCTGTCAAACCTGCCACCACGTGTCCCACTGTCATCCCCCCAATGAGAGAGCGGCTGGAGTCAAACCTGCTGAATATACAGTGTTGTCATAGTGATGATGTGATTGATGTAAGAGCAAGTGCCGATCTCCTCCACATTGGACAAGTTCCTTTGAGAAACAACCATAAAGGATCAGACAGTGTGTTGATTTGTAGGAAGGATCATCTGGATTATTGCATCCTTATCCGACCTGCAGATGATGATGAGGAACTTCAGCAGCAGCAGCGCCAGGTTCTGCTGCTCGGGCTCAAGGCCGTCTGATGCTTTCTGGACGCACTGCAGCAGCTGGTGGCGCAAAACCTGCAGGATGTTGTCGGGTAGCAGCGTCAACACAGGTGGAACCTCGTCTGGTCTGAAAACACAGCGATAAAGACAGACGCCATCTTTAATGGAAGTGTGGAGCGACTCTAATGTCTCGCATGGCTCAGCTAAACGACTTTCATCTGACACTCATGTGATTGAGCCAAGAAATCAGATAATACCTGCAACAAAATGTAGCTGCTCTGCTCCGAATCACGTCATGGCTTCGCTACGTTTGGTTTTGAAGTTTACCAGCGCTTACCTTGAAGGGGGCTTTTCGAAGTCTACGTCGAGGCATTGCTCGTACGAGCTGATGAAAATCTCCAGCCATATCTTGAAGTAGTCTGGATCTCGCTGGAAAAATTCAGAGGAGGAAGACAGAAAACAAGGGAGCGGCGAAGGACAAAAGGGAAAAAGAAAAGGATAAAACTGTTTGTTAATGTGTTAGACATAAAACTTCCACATTTATAAGGTGAAGATGTGAGAAATGTCTAAAAGCAAAATCAGTCAAGTTGAGCTAAAAAATAAATCTTAAGAAAATCACCAGTGCCACACTTTTCAAAATAGAAAAAAAAAACATGAAAACGTGCAATGAAGTAAGACAGATGTGGCTGAATAAGATTGGAACATGACTGCAAAAAAACAGCTGTTTGCTACCTGAGAGACTTTCCCTTTACAGGAGGTATAAAAAAACAAAAACAATCTTCTAAGGTCAATGTTGCATCACCTAAACAACAATTAGATGCCATCTAAGTGATAGACAATTGTTTGGCAGACATGGTAGGATAATGTCCTCTCTGTCCTACCATCACAAATATATAATTGATTAGGTCTGCTGAAATTTTAACCAGAATTGAAAACAACATTATAAAGAAAGCGTTTTCAACCAGTGGATTTTCTTGTGATAAGACATCCAAAATTTTAAGAAAATGCTTAACTCAGTCCAGAAGAACATTACTGTTCTTCCTGATCCATTTTAAATCCAACACTTTAGGATAACCTAAACCCCCAAAGGCTTCAAACTCTATATTAAAAAATGAAACAGCCCTGGTTCATCTACATCCTAAAGAACAAGAGGCGTGAAAGCATTTAAAGCCAACACCAAAAAGAGGAAATGGCCTCAGGTGTCGTCTTTCTAACACATACACTCCTGCCGTGATTCGTCTCCTCACGCTGTTTCATAACATTCACAAATTGAGGCATGTGATCAAAACAATCAGCATGTTGACAGAGGTAGGAAGCATTTCATAAGTAGCAACGACTCAAACAATGGACAGGATGGAGGGTTGGGCGAGTGACTCAAGACTGCTGGTGTGATTCTTCTCACTACCATCTACAAGCCTAATACTCCCAACACATATTGAGAACTCTATCTGTGAATGACAGCGATGGTTGAAATTCCCTCAAGAACAGGTTTAACATCAGGCGGTTGAACTTTGCTTCCCGAGGCAACCATTAAAAACCCGTGAGACAAGAAACTGTCACCATAAAAACAGAAGGTTGCAGCTGCTAGACGAAGGGAAAAGGAATGTCAAAGGAGAGATAGGAATCTTCCTTCACCTGCTGGAGAGGAAAACTGGCCTGGCTGCATTCTGAGGCCGGGTTTCTAGAAACTAGGAGACCAACATTAGCTAAATTCCTTGAATAACAACAAGGCGAAGGGTGACACATCCAAACGAAAGCAGAGGAATAGACTTAGCTCCTTAAAAACAAAGCCAGAAAATGAGTGTCCATGAAAGTAGATGAGCATACCTGCTCACTGTTCAGTCAGAATCCTCTAAGAATTAATGGATCTTAATATTTCCTTATTTTACATTTTTCAAACAAGAAAGAAAAAACAAAACACAGAAACTTCAGTGACAATACAGGCCTTTCTGTTAGCTGCTCAGTCTTGCTCTTTCTCTTGAACAAATCACATTTATATGTCAACATGCTTTACATTGAAAATATATATATTATAAAATAGCTTTCTGTAATTGGAGTCTTACACTGAAGAACGCTCTTATCAGTCTGACATTGTAGTTCATGTACTTTCATTGGTGGAAACAAAATAAAAAATTTTTTACTTGTCAGAAATTTCTTGTTTGTCTGCATTAGAACAGCATAAATCATTTAATCCCAGACTGCATACATTTTTGCAGAATTTCAATTACAAAGATGGATGAGATATTTGGTAGAAAATGTATATAAAGTGTAAAGTATGTAATCTGCCTGCCAATAATATATCTGGAACTAATATGGTCTTGACATTGTGATGGGAATCCAGTTCTCCACCATTCCTCAATTAAAGTTCACAGAAAACGATTCTGAAGGCTGAAAATGGCCCTGCTATTGGTCATCACTCTGTGGGAATCTAAGAATAACAAGAAACTGTAGACGTTTTTTTTCTTCACTGCTGTTTGGGGAAAGAGTAGGAACGGGGCAGAAAGGTTGACGGGTTCTGTCTGCGTGTCAGAGCGGGAATCAGCCAAAACGAGGCAAACAGGCTGTGTGAATCAGCAAGAATCCAAGTGAAGTCATCAGGACAATCTAGCAACGCTGGCTGCTGTATGCGTGTGAGACCAGAAACGAAGAGAAAAAAGACGCGAGTAGACATCTAAGTGGAAAAAGAAAAAGCTAAAAGGAGAAAAGCATGAGTGGCTTCTTTCTACAGCCGCATAAATCAAAGTCAACAGTGGGAGAAAAGTATTTTTAATTGGCTGCTGCTGAAGCCAGTTTATTTTTAAGCAATAAATATCCTATTGTCCCAATGTGGATACTGCTGCCAGATCACTTAAAGACAATAATTCAAGACAGAAGCTTTACTCTCAAGAGGCTGCAGCCTGCTGGAAACACTGACTGAATGACTGTGGTGTGTGTCTTAAAGAATGCCCTCTTTTAAGCACCAGCACAGATGCCCATTGAGGGTTTGGACTGTGGCGGAGGGGGGGACACACCCTGGCTCTGTTTATCCTCATCTGTCATCAGGACCTGGGCAAACACACACACACACACACACACGCCCAAAACCATCTACACTTTGTAAGTAGCAATCACAAACCTGGCGTCCTTGTTTCACCTCCTCAGCCTTAATAAAACCGAAACCTTGTGATCCCCTCCAGGAGACTGAATGGCATTCCTAACGATCTGTTTACGCTGACCGCCGTAAAATCAGGAGATCGATGCTCTCCGTTCTATAAAATGAGATTTCACATTGATCAGAGGTCGGTGTGATTGTTACTGGAGAGTAAAACTCCAATCGATGGCCAGGAACCTCCATCATCAATTGCAACTGAAGTAATGAGAGATACAAATCAGTTGGATAAAGTGTATCAAAAATTGCAGAAGCCTGACCAGACTGGAGTAATCTTCAGATCCAAAGTGAAATTCTTGTTTGTTTGGTTCTTTTTGTCCAAATGAACACAATAAGTTGATACCATATGTCTTTTTTTCTGTATAGTTTAACATTTCTACAAGTAAAGAATGTAGAATGATGACATTTAAAAGCCATGAATGATGGCTTCTTGTAATTACCAGGGAGGCTTCCTGGGCTAAATTTGAAAACTTCAGGACTACTAAATTAATGTAAAAAGGAATCATTAAGTCAGTAAAGTTTATAAGCAGTCCTGTGTGGTCGACCAGCTGGTTGAATGGCTTCCCAGTCTAGTTTGTGTGGAAACGCGTGACCTGGTTTGGTTTGGCGTTTAACCGTCTCCTCTCTTGAGGTTTCAAAGTTGTCTGTTTGTGTTTCTGCTCCCTTTTTGGCCCGACATCATTTCCTATTTCTGCGACAACTCCTCTGACCATGATGTCACTCCTGCACGTGTATTTATAGACGCCAATGGGAGGAGCTAAAACCCATCTGGCAATGACATCACTGTTATTTCAGAGATATTCATAACAGAGATAAAACGGCGAGCCTGCAGGAAATTTGAATATGGGATGAAGACTTCAAGCTTATGTCTGCAATGTTTTTTTCTTCTAATTCCCAGGACTGCAGAGGTTTATGCAAATTACTGCTGCTTTTTCCTCCACTTGAGTCAAAAAGCAACTCGAAAGGGGGCAGGGTGAGGCATCAGTTCTGTGATTTAAATGGAAATCCATAATTTGTAGACAGCTGGCTATTCTCCTGCAGAGTTAGCAAACCAAAGGGTGAAATGCTCCCCAGAGGCAGTTGAGGCTTGTTCCACCGTGGTGGGGAATTTAGAGAATTTTCTGCAGCAAACAAGGGCTTTAGGAGCGTAAACCGGCATTATTCAAAAACCACATTAGAGCCTCAACTTTCTCCTGCAGGCTCTGTGGAGGAGGGAAGGTAATGCAGAGTCGTTTTCCATTTCAGGGAAGCCTCGACTGTCAGGGGACAACACAGGACCAATGAGAGACAGCTTAGAAGAGAGCGGGTTTATGCAACAGCCTTAGTCGTCTGTGACCCCTCTGCAAGTCGGAGTCAACTCCAGCAGATTTATATCTAAGCTGACGTGCTGCTGCACATTTTGCTGCACTGAAAACATAAAGCTTAGTGGATTTTGCTGGAAATTTATGTGACAGGTCAACATAACGTAGGGAGTCAAATGTGGAGCAGAAGGAAAAGGACACATTTCTTTATTAAGTTGAAGAGATCCAAAGTTGAACATTACCTTCTGTTTGATCCACTGTATTAAATCCCAATAATGTACATCAAACTTGTGCTTGTAATGTTGTACAAAGTATAAAAGTTTAAAGCAGTATAAATAAATCTGCAGGAATTCATGAGGTTTCTGATTTTGTAGCCACAAGTTAATCTTATAAACTGTAGTCGGAAAAGCAAAATGGAGGAGAAAAAGTGTTTTAAGACACATTTTTTCTACAAACCATTTTATTTCTCCGTTGAAGTTGTTCAAATACAACACAATTTACTAAGAGAGAGCTTCCCAACATGGATTCCACAGCTGCAGCAGAGACAATTCCTGATCTCATCCCTGAAAACGCTGCCACTCCGACAGCTGCCAGAAACAAAAATGTGCTTCACATCTTCCACATTTCTGACCTCCAGATCATGAGTTAAAAGAGAAAACAGAAGCCAAGCCTCTTCCTCCTTTTTAGCACCGGGAACTAAGCGGCTGTCATGGAAACAAAAGACAGTCTCCCTGACTGGACCTGATGAACCAGTTCTTCCCAAAGAGATAAAGACCATAAAAGTTTTTACTTCTACCACATTTGTCCAGCTAAAAAAAACAACAAAACAAAAACACCTTTAAAGTACTAACCTACATATCTTGGAGGCTATATTGACCTATATGCTAACTAAGCTACATAATGAGAGTAACATTAGCGTTTAAAGTTATAAACGAGTCAATCTTTTGAAAGCAGCTAAGTACTGAAGAAATTCCAGACATTTTTTAAGCTAGCAATGTTTTCAAACAAAACAATATTCTGAAATGCTAAGCTAATGTCAGCATTCTGTTTTGATAGGACTCACTAGTAGATCTACTGATAAATTTTATGCTATTTTAAAGCTTCATGTCGCAATACCATCACTCAATGTGTTAACTCCTAAAATCTCTGATTCAGGAGTAAAATATTCCCATGTTTGACTTTCAAATACATAAATTTTGTGGCATTTCATTGCAAGTTTGAGCTGGATAGAGAGAAGCAGAGGTTCCTCACTGGTTCTGGCATTTCACACAAACATTCCTGTCTGATATAACCCACATGACTACAAGGTTCTTCTTACAGACAACCTATCCGGGCAACCCTCCCACATGCCTACACATATAGTTCAGGGAAATCCCATACTCCATGTCTATAGCGTCTTGCGAACGTTTTCATATTTTGCCACAAACGTCAATGTATTTTATTGAGACTTTATGTGACAAACCAATACAAACTTTACCATGAATACACCATGAAACATGGTGGTGGCAGCCTCATGTTGCAGGGAACCCTTTTTAGAAGGGACAGGTTTTTGTAAAAAATTTTAAACATACACTTTTCCTATCATTTTGTTCGACTTTGTGTTGGTCAAACTCTTAAAATATGTTAACATTTGTGGCTGAAAAGATGTGCAAAACTTCCAGGGTGTAAATATTTTAACAATGTAGGCTCAAAGCGCCAACGTTTATTGAACTGCTCTTCTCTCTACAACTCTTTGGCCTCACGTAGAGATAAACCCCGGCCCTGTGGACTCTGGCTCAGAGCCAGGATGAAGTAAAACGATCCTGTCTTAGTCAATGCAAACATACAGTCCAGCTAGAACAAATGCTTCCAGACATGGCTGGCATTTTCACAACTGATCGGGACTGTTATACTCAACCAAGACAGCAACTTAACGCTTCTGACAAGAACCCCGCGGGGCAGGTAGAAGACGCGCTGGCTGCATCAGCGTTCACTCTCTTAAGTTCTCAGCAGGGGGATTATTACATGTCATATGCTGCATGGAGGAATAACAGCTTCATGTGTCGTGAACTGTGCATAGCGTTTGTGTTTGTGTGTGTAGTGGTGAGGGATTACTGAGGGAAGAAAGTAAGTGGTTGCAGCCAGGCTCACGTGAGGAGCAGCTTAGCCAGGCTGTTTTGATTGGACGGCAGGATGTGCGCGTGCTTTATCGCAGAGTGAATTAAATCTAGCCAACAGCTGACTCAAGGAACGCCTGCTCTGCTAGTCTGTTGCTTGGACAAAAAGATAGATGGATGAAGGTAGAGATGGAAGGAGGGAAGGAGATGGACCATTTTGGTCCTTAAACACACAATTTCCCATAAACCCACTTTCCTTTTCATACATATACATACCTTGAAAGTGGAGAAAATTTTACCAGATGATAAAATGTCCCAGAAGCTGTTCCCAAAAAACAATAACCTTTAAATTCTGATAAACACTGAAACTAGAAAACATTTTACATATCCAACAGAAACAGCAAAGCAGTCGACTGAAGACTTTTGTCATCCAGTTTTTGGTAGAAGAAGAAAAACAATAATTTACACAAATATAAATTATTGAGCTTGCTTTTAGCGATTAAATGATTTGTTGTATAAATGTCTATTTGAAAATACTTGAATAAACCTCCAGACTTTTCCAGTTGTGATTGGTGGACAAATATCAAAAGAAAGTCTTTTGTACTAAACATGCCGTCACCAGAACAAAGTGATTGCATCTTTGGATGTAAGGAAACATCACCCTTTGACCTTTTGGAGGATTATTGAAGCAGTAGATCATCTCACCTTGGTGCAGTAGAGCATCCACACCTCATAGAGCCTTTCGTTGGATGCCATGGCGCCACAGTGAGGGGGACCCCCTCCTTCAGGCTGCGGTGCCAACAGAGGTCATGATCTGAAGCCATCCATGATTTTCAGGGAGAATCCAAAATTACTCCATAGCAGGTCAGAACCAATTCCAGTGGAGGACAGTGCCACTCCTCCTCTTCTTCTTCTTCTCTTTGGAAGGGTGGCTGTGTAGGACAACACCAATAATTAGTGTCGTGGCAGGGTCCAGGGGTCTCAAACTCCAGTCCTGAAGGGCCACAGTCCTGTAGATGTGCCACAGGTACAAAACGGTGGAATGAAATGACTTTACTACCTCCTCCTTGTAGACCAGTTCTCCAGAGCCTTGCAAATGACCTAATTACTCTATTCAGTTGTGGTGCAGCAGAGGCTCATCTGAAAGTTGTAGGACTGCGGCCCTCGAGAGCTGGAGTTTGAGACCCCTGGTACAGTAAATACACTATGGTGGTTATGTCAAGGCACAGTAATAAGACTTTACTTTACTCTGTGCTTAACGCTAAACCTAAACATACAACAGACCTTCGGTTTATCGGTTTGAACGCTGTCACACGACTCCCACCGTACCTGGTCAAGCTAGCTAAAAACCTAGCTGTCATAAAAGAAGCCTGTTTATTTCTCTATCCCCCTCTTCCTCCTCCTCCTTCCCTTTATGTGACAGAAACGTCTCGTCCGCTCCAGCTAGTCCGACTACAACACGACTAATGAACTAAAATAAAAATAAACGTCAAAGAAAAGATATTACAATGATAAATTCGTCGCCAACTTGAAGCCCACTTACCTAGATAGCGAAGAGCCCAACTGTCACCTCCGCCACCGCCGTCTCTAGGGCTGCTGTTGCTGCGGGAAGCTTCCTGTCAGAGGATGTTTGGCTCCCTTTCAAAATAAAAGCCGCACAAATACCAGATGATTCAGAACATGATCTACATTACAAAAATAATGAGCCAACTATTTACAAATAATGACTGCAAATGCAGCCTATCATCAATGATTTCTTAATTTAAGACATTTTACTTTTGTTTGTTTGCTGTATTCATTGCAATCACTTTTAAACTGATACAAATATATTTATTTGAACCAAATAATGAATTATTTTGGTCTTCCAAGCTAAATTACTTTGAGTATGTCGTCTACTCTAGTTCATAACTGTAGTCTTATTTTGGTAAACAACATAAGGCTATTGCGATCTATAAATATTCCACCTCTATAAAATGCTAATCGACTCGAATAAACAGGGCTTGTCGTTCAACTGCGGTTTATTCAAACGAGGTAATAAATTCATAAATGAATAACTGGGAAAAGTTATTTCTTTTCCCAGTTATCCCAGTATCCTATTCGCGACACATGCTTCTGCTTTACGGTGTCGATGTGGCTGTACGTGGTTGCTAAGAACAGGATTTCGTTTCCGAATCTTTGTCGCCCTCAAGAGGAATTGAAAAGTACTGCTTAGTTTGAGGTTGTGCAGATGTGTCACTGAAAGAGATAGGTCAGTTTTTTTTAAATTGTTGGGCGTAGTTAATCGTTTACATCCCGTGACGTAAATGCAGCACACTTTTCATAAAACCTACATAATATTAAGACTTGTTTTATCTGTCATAGGAATGTCAAATTTTCACGATTCGTTTAAAGTTTAAATGTTGCTTTTAATGTAAAATATAAAGTAAAACAATGGAGCAACCTTGATCTGTTGGTGAAAGAGAATTACCTTAGATTGCATCACAACCAAAAGTCAAGCCACCTTATTCCTCGTTGAGTTTTGTGTATTTTGCACGTTTTTCCAGTCCTGTGGGAAGAGTAGCAAACAGAAAACTCAGGTCTGAATTTTGCTTAAAATGAAAGCATACACTTTCAGTTTTAAAGCAGGACTAATTATTTTCATTCTCATGTAATTAACTGCTCTCGCTCAAACAAATAAAAAACTAGCTTCAAATTCCCTCAGAAATGTATTCATAAGAGTAATAAATTAAAACAGAATAAACTTGCATTGAAAAAGAACCACTCAGGAATAACAGCAAGCATGGGAATAAAAACATATATATATATATCGATATTGTATCATTAATAATACAAGTAAGGCTTATACAGCTACCATGTTTGATATGTACTGTAACTCACAGTTCTCATACACAGCACGCTTAATCACAGTCACAAAGAATTCACCAGATCCTATTAAAACAAAGGCATTGCTGGATAAGTGGTTGAAGAGCACAGTAGGAACATTTTATGTAGATCAGGACAGGGAAGACTACTGATTCCTAACCGCTAACTAGCTTAGCACTAAATACAACACATTTATTGCTCTTGTGCCTTTCGAGAGCACATTTAAACCCCCATGTTGTAAAGTTTCCACACAAGAACATACAGCAGAAAGAGGATTACAAGGCTGGCTCTAATTGTCAATGACTTATTTAAAAAAAACACTGTTTTCTCCTTCAATACAATAAGAAACCTGTTCTTTTATGTACCTCAATACTTCATATTCACAGCTGGAACACATGAATCCACAATAAACATGTAACAGTGGCCCTTTCTTTTCAGAATGTGTCATAATTATTAGTGTGCTGACTCATTTTAAAGATATAATTACTAAAGATTTATATATTTGAGCAGCTTCTGTAGTCCAGCACTTTCACAGTTGGCTCATGCCAAAATCTATCCATCAGACAAACAGATACAAAAGAAAAACAAAAGATGAAACTATATAAAAAAGGCTCAGACTGTTGGGTTAATATTAATAATACAAATTAAAAAAGCACAGTAGAGCATGGCCTTGTTTTTCTTTGATTGTCTATATTTGGGTTGCTAGTCGGAGAAGTCCCACGCTGCCTCTGGAGGCTCGGCGGTGGCTGATGGTGGAGCGGGATGCGTGGAGCCCGGTGGGCTGGACACGGGCCGGTCCTCAGGGCAGCAGAGGGGCAGTGCTGGGTACATCAAACTGAGGAAAGAGTCTCTGGTGTGCCTCTTCACCTGCAACAAAGCAGAAAAATGTATGACGCTAATACAGCCAGAAAAAAATCATTTTAGGTCAAAAATTAACCACCACATTGTTTCACTGACAACATGAAGTGGAAATGTTGGTATTTTAAAAGAAAAATCAGGCAAAATAAACTTTTTTTCCAAAACAATTTCTTAATCAATATTTTAATATTTAAAAATTTCATCATCAGATGTATCCAAATATGAAGTTAATTGGAAATGTTGGTATTTTAAGGATCAAATTGACAATAGTTCATATATGTAACTAAAAATAATAAAATCAGGCAAAATAAAATGTTTCTAAATCTTTCAATAAAAACATTATGAAAGTAACAACAACTGCAGGTGAGTTTTTGTTGAAACATGTTTCTTTTTTATTCAGCGGGTAGAAAATCCAGAAACTTTATTCAAGTAAGAAAAGCAATCCTTTAGAATTAAATTACTCAAGAAAAAGAAAAAACGTACATTTTTTCAAAAAAGTTACTCAAGTAAATGCATCCCAACCCTGATCTGAGTATGCAGGACATCATACCTGCTTGAAGAAGGCGTGGCTCAACAGTTCAGAAGCAGTCGGCCTGTAAAAGGAAACGTTTTGTTATCAATCTTGCCGTCGTGTTTAATTAAATGTGACGGAGCAGTCGCCTCGGTAATGACCTGCGCTCCGGCTGCTGCTGCAGGCACAGCTGAACCAGGCTGTGCAGCGTCGCCGAGTGGTTTTTGGGTCCCGGGCTCTGCGGCCGGTCGGTGGGCGGCGCGGTGGCGCTGTGCGTCAGGCTCCCGGTGGCCACGCTCTCCCCGATGCCGGAGTCCACCCCGGAGCGGGAGACCTTCAAGCCGCCCAGCTCGCCCAGCGGGAAGGGAGCCACGTCCAGCAGGCAGCAGTGGGAGCCACGCAGCTTCTGAAGCAGCATCTGATTGAGACGGTCAGACGGTTAAATGGCGGCAGACTTAAACACACTCACGATTCAGGAGGGAAGTGGTCACCTGAGTGGGTGGCATGTCCTGGAAGGGCACCCTGCCACTCACCAGCTCACAGGCTACAATTCCCAAACTGTAGATGTCCGACTTCACGCCGTAACCATGCAGGTCCTACTGAGGACAAAACCACAGGGAAACAGTACTGCTCAACATAAAACCGAAACCTATAGGGAACAACGCCACTTTCAAAACCATTTAAAATCCAGTTTTATTGCAGCGATTAAAATAAATTAATCTACTGGATGTAATGAAGCTGATATGAATTGGTTCTTATTTCTCTGTGTTGCAAACAGGAGTGCACCAATTCATGTTTTCTGGCTGATCATTGATTTTTAATTCTGATTTTCTTCATAGACATATCTAGAGAAAATGAAGAGACTGCAACACTGAACCCCAATGAAAACATCTGGACTCTTTCTGAGTTAAAACATCAGTGTTGTTGTTTCTAAACGGATATGAACTTGTTTGAAGTATGAAAGCACTGCATCTTTTTAGCTATTTTCACCATTTCTCTGCGAATAAATACTACATTTTTGCTTGGGATTTCAGAGACATGTTCCCAGTAGTTCATAGAATAAAAAAATAATATGTTCATTTTACTCAAACATATAATGATAAAAAGTAAAATCAGAGAATCCTCTCATTTCAAGTGGCCTCTTCATTACTTCCAGAGCTGTAAATAACTTCAACGTTCCAAACGTATTTTATTAAAAGACATTTTAAAAATGTACAACTACAAATAATACAAACTGACTTTAAGGTTTTCTTGTACTATGAAGAAAATATAAATGCAGCAACTTTGTGGATATTCCAATCTTATTTAAAATAATATCGGTTTTATGTTAAAAAATAAGTTAATTGGTGCATTCTGATTTATAAATGGCAGATTTTGTATCTTTTGTGTTGTTTTCTGAAAGCTTTGTAAAACAGTTTCAATTATTCAGCCGCCTTTACTAGTCCACACAGTCTAGTCAAAGTCTGCCCCACTAAATCCAGTAACACTGGAATCAGTGGTTTTCCCTTAATAAAATGTAAAACATTAAAGGAGTGTGAATATTTTTACAGGACGAGTCCTGACCTGCCGCAGCAGCTCTGGGCTGAGCCAGGGCAGCAGCGCTGGACTGTGGTGCGGCATGTCGAACACGGCCCTCATCCTCTTCCCGTCACGCATCATGCTGTAGACGCTGTGCAGGCCCGACAGGTAGACTCGGCCCTCCTCTGACAGCAGGATGTGACTGGCCTTCACCCCGCTGACCGGACAACACCAAGACATGGAGACATTTACAAACATTAACAAAAACCATGTGCTTGTGGTGCACTGACCGGTGAACGTAGCCCATCCGATGCAGGTAATCCAGCGCTTTCAGGACGCCGTGCAGCAGGTAGGCGATCAGGGATTCACTCATTCCATCAGGGAAAAAAGTTCTGAGTAAGGCGTCTGCAGAGCCTACAGGGAAAAACAGAGAATAATCTGAACTCCTAAATTATTTAAACCGCTTAGGTATGCATGGAGCTTTGATGGGAGATAAAACCGATGGGGTTGTGAAAAGGAGAGCGTTGCGGCTAACCGTAGGCCATGAGGGGCGTCAGCACCCACAGCTGGCAGGACGAGCAGAACACCAGGCGGGACGTCAGCAAGTTGGAGTGACGGAAGAACCGAGAGAGAAGAACCTCGTTCTGCGGTGGAAGACATGAACTAACATGACAATACGTTCATATTAAACACTATTACGTAAGAAGAGGATGCCAAGAGATTATTTAAGAGAGAAGAAGGGAAAGCAGTTTAAACAACCTGAGAAAGTAATCGCTCCCCCAACATCGTTTTGGAGAAATATTGTCTCATTCCTTTATAAAAGATTGATTAATTTCAGTCACAGCGAAGGATTTTCCAGTCTGAACTTGTTTAAGGTGAGGCTAGAGCTTATTAAAATTTATTCTTTGACTAGGCATATTTCAGAGATTTTAGCAGCAGAGAAATGAAAATGGAAAACTCAAAAATGCTCAAGTCATGTTTAAAAACACAAACATTTAATATCAGCCTACATATTCTATAGTGCATATAATGGGTTTCAATGAGACTTTTAACTAATGAAAACAAAAACTAGAAGACTAGGTCAGATATGAAGAACTGAAACGCATCACAATAATTCTTAATTTTTAAGCATTGTTAATTTTCCCAGCATGTTTCTGAGTACAGATGTTAATTTGGTTTGTTGTGAACTAAGTTGGGAGCTTTTGCATCCAAACTTGCTTCATTACTGATTGTCCTATGAGCTCTCTGTATTGTGCACAATAAATAAATAAACCTGATTAAGTGATTTTACTTGAACGGTGCTTGGAAATAGTTTGTATTCCATGACATCATGTAAAAAAAACACCCAACCTCATAATTTGATTCCTAAAATCAGCTGAAATGACAGACGTTGGCACTGCGTTTGATTTACAAAGATTGTTACACATATTGAACACAATCACATTCTGTTTTGAAGATAAAGAAAGAAAAAGTCTCTAGATGCCAGACATGAGTTCACCATGAGCTGCAGCAGTTCCTCCTCTGTGCATTCGTCCAGGTTGGTTTGCTTGACAGCCACCAGTTGGCCGGTCGGGATGTGTCGTGCCATGCTCACCTGGCTCAGGTTATTGAACCCTTTACCTGCGATACAAGGTGAAACCTCTCCATCATCCCTTTAAGTCACAGTTTAGGACTTGTGTTACGTTGTTCGGGTGGCCTCACCCAGCTCGTTCAGCAGCTGGTAATGGGCCGGCTCGGGCGACAGCCCCGTGATGTCATCGCCGCCGGCCGGGCCTTGCAGGGTGTATTCGGAACCGTCGCAGCTCTGCAGGGCATCCAAGGCAAAAACTGAGCGTACAAGTGGCAAAAAAATCATCCATCTGTCAAATTTAAGAATAAACCGCATCTCCAAAATAAACCACAAATTAAGAACTAAAATCTAAATAATTGTTGAGTTTAAGGTTTGTTGACGAAATATTTTGTTTATACAAGCTTTTTATTTATGGTTTCATCTGTGTTTAGTTTTAATTTATTTTTTTATGTCTTCATGTTTCATTTTAGATATTTAAAATATCTTCTTGCACCATTATGAAGTGTTCTCTACAAAATTAAAGTTCATCAGCCTTGGAGAGGGAGTATTTGTCACTTGTATTTTATTTATTTAACATTATTAAAACATCACAATAATATCAGACAGGAGAGAAAAACAAAAACATGTGCAACTGGCCTTTAATGTCATATACATATTAAGTGTATTATTATGCAAATGTCTATATATGGTTTAAAAATATGATCAATATGGCTCATTTATCGTCTAGTAAAATGCTAGTCTTAATGTTAGATCGTTTCCCTGCGACCAGCAGGTGGCGCTGTAACACAAAAAGCAGCAGAGTGAAGCAGTGCAGGGGGGTGATTACAGGTTTTGATGCTGCAGGGAGCAAAGAGGAAACTTCCCCTCTGCATTACATCACCACAGGAACATGATTTATTATTATTAATGATAATAATAAATCATGTATTATTATTAAGTAGTTAATAATAATAATCATGAACTACTGCTTTAGGAATGTAGAGGATAATGTTAAGGGAAGGGTGTGCTTCCAGCTTGATATTTCCTTGAAAAAGTATTCAAGTGTATTCAAGGGGAGTGAATACTTTTGCGAGGTTTTAATCTCTAAGCTGATGATGACAACATGTCGGCTACTGACCAGAAACTGGTGGCTGGTGTCTCCATAGCGCTCCTCTCTGTCCATGGGCTGGACCTGAGAGTGGGATATGCAGGAACAGTCCTGGGGAGGAGGGTGGAGGAGCAGAGGTGAGACATGCCCATACAGGAGGAAGAGGACCAGGAGGGAGCAAGCATCAGGAAACATGGCGCACCAACGCATCCATGGGTGAAAATGTGACATGAGGCAACAGAAAGGGACGCGGATGACGTCATATGATTAAAGCAGAGCGGGTCGATGAACGTGTGAATAAATGAACCATTAAACAATTCAGCGCCAATACATACCATACAGCTCACTTTTCAGGTATCAGAATGAAAATGAACTCCTTATAACATCCTTAGAAACCTTCAAATAAACATTTTATTCTATTATTACTGTTATACATTTAATAACAAAAATACACCTTTTTAAAGCAGTAAGTTGAAAACAAAATCCATTTTGTTTACAATGACTCCATAATTCATTTTATTTCTTGTTTTGTTTATTTACTTTGAATATTTAAAATATCTTCCAGTTCCAGTGTTAAATGTTCATTTGAATTTAAATTTTATTGATATTTTATTACAATTATGCTGAAATCTGTTGTTTTTCTATCATTTTAATCGCCTGAATTTCTAAATTTGCTAAGTCACAGTAGAAACGTATGACGGGAAAAGAAACCCTTACCAAGAAAGACATGGAGTCCTTTTGGCGAAGGTGAAGTGATCAACTTTTTCATTCATTCGTTCAAGAGCTGCAGGGGTCCGACGGCGACAGAGGGAGACAGCAGGATGAGGCGCGGCGGTGAAGCATGAGACACAGTGAAGAAACTCCAGGATGAGCAGCAGGCTGAATCCGTCAGCCTGCTGGAGCTTACCTGCCAACATCAGCTGATCTCTCGCTCCAAGGAAACTCAATTCATCAGCAGACGTCCATGATTAGTGAGGATCTGAGACTGATTCCTAGAAAACAGAGTGTACAATAACTTGTTACTTAATTATGCATGATTAATTCAATAAAATTAGAAATACAGCATTGAAAAGCATCGTTAAATTATGTTAAGATACATAAATCCCTAACAATCTGCTAAAAGAGCTGTGTGAAGGATGATTTATTTTCTTCCCGTTTCATAAAGTAATGAGATTCCAGATTTTTCACTTCAACTAAAAGGGAATTTCACAAGTAAAAAGACTGGGAAATAATCAATAATGTAATTAATACATTATTTTTATGTAAATTACTGTATAATAGTCAATAAATCTGGGTAGCAGAAAAATAACTTAATGATTTCAAAGCTTAATGAAGGATTTCCACATTTAAACTGATGTATTGAACAAATCCTCAATATAGTAAATCAATTGCAATTATTTGTTGCATCTCTTCAGTCACTTACCAAGTTAAAGCAAGTTTTATTCAAATAGTGTGCAAAACGGCTGTGTTTTAGTCCACCATAATGCTTGTGTTTGCAGAAATGCAATATGAAACATTCGAGATCAAGTAATGCAACCAGTTTGCATATTTTTACCAGTAACCAGACTGGAAGTTGTAGTTGTTGCAGATATCAGTGTAAACAGTTGCTGCACTGAACCAACACAGGTTACTTTTCTTACAGTTGTCTGAGGTGAGGAAACCAAAGCAGTCTGCTTACCTGCAGAAAGCGCTTCGACATAAACAACTTAAAGACACAAAGGGCCGTCGGTCAGTCTGCGCGGCGCGTCTTTGAGACGCTCCATCCTGCGCCTTTCCTTCTCCAGATCACAATAGCGCTGCGTAAAAACCTAATTTTACATAAATGTTGGACAATAACAAAAAGACAGCTTCCTTTGGGAAGACTTTTAATTTGACACTGATAACCGGCGCTTGATTGAGGCGTGATTGGGTTTGACCGTCGCCATTAGATGATGATGCTGCTGTGAAACGCCTTCTCTTTGCCTCCTGACAGGGATGAAGTTGGCGTCCGATTCGTAGGTTTATGTTTAGTTCAAAACAAAAGGGCTAATAACTCCACCGAACTGAAACTGTGTCCAATTTCTAATCAAACTGGACCTTGATCACATATTTTAAGTTTTAACATATTAAATAAAGAATTCACAAATTACTAGCTCTATATTTAACATTATGAATAGATTCTAAATATGCCATCAGACAAAGGAAAAAGAACAGCTGACAAAATCATTATTTTACATTTTCAAACTGTAAACAAAACTTTCCTTTATACAGTCCATCATTCACAGAGAAAAAAAAATCTGTTCAGATTTAGTTTGTCAAAGCAACATGGTCATACACTCAAAATCTAAATACATATAATAAACAAATCAAGAAGTACCACGTTTTTTCTCTTAATTTGTAATGGAGTTAGAAAGTCTTGTTTTAGATCTACTGATTTTACAGCTTTATTTTCTACAGAAGTCACAATACTTTGCTTTTTTTTTAATTAAAATATGAGTTTGTTGAACAAGTAAAAAGAAACAGTTTTGTAATAGTGTGGGAAAATTTTTTATTTGGTAGCCGTCTGAGTGACATTTTTTTATCCTATGGCAAAAAGTTCAGATCCCAATGGTGTTGCAGCAAATACAGAAGTGGTAAATGTGGCGGAATGTTCCTTTAGTCAAAAGCCCAAATATGGAACTACCACTCGCAGGCCAACTTCGTCGCCATCCTTCTTCTCCATTGTTTGATGCTTCGCTAAACGGATCTCTCAGCCTGTACCGTTGGAATATCCCATGCAGTGGAAGTTTATTGACACCGGGTAAGTTTGATCGTGACCAACTGCTGCTGTAAACATAAATAAGGCTGTGATCGCTTTTTTTTTTTGAGCTCGCGGAGGAGCCGCTCGCTGACGCAACGGCTAGAATCTGTCATCGAAGCGCACGAGACAGAATAGCGTTAAGCTAACGGGAAGCGATTCGTTCTGTTTTTATCGAACAACTGTTGCCTATTTTGTTTATTGTGGAAATAATAGCCTGATCTCTGGCATATGTATTTAATAACAAATCAGTGAACGCCTTCATACCACAACGCTTTCATTTTATAACTGTAAATTACTGTAAGGAACCCATCAGACAACATGAAGTAGGCTGAAGGATCTGATACTGACAAATACGAGCAAAACACATTGTTAGTATTTGAGCCATAATTTACAAATAGAGGAAGCATGGAGCAATCTGAAAATTCCCAGAGAACATCTGATAAATGAGCATAAGTTTGACATTAAACTCCAGCTTCTTGTGTTGCTCAATAGGACCATGATCTAGTCAAAGTCTATGTCCTCATGGTTGAAATTTGATAAACACAGTGATGTAAATGACTAGTTAGTTATAATACTATTAAGCTAGGGCACCAGTGTCAAACTTCAGTCCTCCAGAGCCTGCAGATTTTAGATGTGCCACAGGTACAAAATACTGGAATGAAATGGGGAGATAAGTTTTCCAGAGCCTTGCTAATGACCTAATTATTCTATTATTCAGTTGTGGTGCAGCAGAGGCACATCTAAAAGTTGCAGGACATTATTAGCTGGGGCTCCAGGGAGTTGCCCACCTTTGTGTAATGAAGTCCAGCTTCATCACTGTGTAATACTCATTGTAAATCCTATGCTCGTTGTTGCTGGAGTTCCCAATGACGGCTTTAACCTCAGTTTGTACTTTATTATTGATGTGTTGCCATCTTCCACTGCTGTGTCGGCTCTGTGTCACTTTCTATTGGATCGTCCGGTGAATGCAGTTTAGATGTGATGGGATGTGAAAAGCTGAGGTAAGCAGCTGGGACTGTGGTTTTACGGTCTCAGTAATGTTGCCTCTAGTAAGTAGGTCATTTTTATGTCTGTTTGTGGTTGGGAACCAACATTAAGCTTTTCATTTCTTTGGGTTTCGTAAACATTATGAAGAGAGCGGTGTTGGAGTAGCGGTCTGTGTCAGCCTCAGTTGACTCACAGATGCTTGGCCCCGGCTTTTTAAATCACGGAAACAGGAAGCATGTATTTGAAGAGCTATGGCAAGTAGGAACATAATGGATCCTGAATCTATTTACTCTGACTCTAATAACAAACTGGTGCAAAGAATTGGTGCAAACTGCCATGGAAGTCTCAACAATCAGAGATCCGATGGTTTCAAATTCCAAAGTTTGGAATTTCTGGATAAAAATTTCCAGACTAAGGTTTTGTGCGAAACATCCGCCTTAATCTCTTTTACGATGCCAGCTGTTTCAGCTTTACTGTTGCGTAATCAGACCTTGAACAAAGACTCTTGTCCTTCCCCTGGCCTGATTCCTGCCACTCAGAATCTACAAAGATGCACAGACATGTCCCGATAAAACTAAATTAAACTGAGCTCAATAATTAACATTTTCATGATTTACTGTTTTTCTCTTTTCTCTGTTTTTCTGCCAAAAACTGGGTGACAAAAATAATCTATTTGGTGTTTTGGTCTTAACTATCCCTTTTCTTGAAGGACAATTTTATAATCCATTTATTTGTTGCTTTGTTTCAGTTTGGATACATTTTTTTACAGTTGGTTATGAAGCTGTGGCCCTAATTTCTCCTGACTTTTTCAAAAATGCCTTCTCCTAATCTGTAGGTCAGAATCTCTTGGAGCCGCTGTGTAATCCCCGGATTGTTCACTCTGTTGCAGGTAAAAGTGTTCATGAGGTCACGGCCCATCAGCACTGCACCAGGATGTGATGTCATGGCAGTAGCTGTCTTCCTGTCTTGTCCAGTGTTGTGTTTTTTGGGAGAGGGGCCCCTCGCTCCCACCCAGAGGACAGGACATGTTTGAAGTGAAACCCCGGGCAGTGGAAAAGAAGGAATCAAGCACTGAGACAGGTCAGGAATTCGACAATGCCATTTTTTTTTGTTTATAACTCAAATTATTTTTGTTTGATTTGACTTACTTACATGTGAGGGATAATAAAATCTTTGTACATAGCATATTGTAATATTTCTGAACTCAGATTGGTGGGTAAAAAATATGTTTCTGCCCCTCCTTCCCTCAGTGCAGTATGCCGAGTCTCTGGGCCAGATGCTATTATTAGCTCATGTTAGCCCAGTAAACCACATATTTGCTCAAGTGGAAGGTCATTGACTAGTACAGTACCAGACCCAAGAGAGCACACACACGCACACACACACACACACACTGATTCACTTAAACTGAGCAAACATACTTCCTGTTGCTCTACAAAAGCCAGAGCTGCTTCTTTTTGTGAACGAATTATGGCCTGTTAGGTGTTTGAGACGTAATTTAAAAACTGTACAAAGGCAATGACATACAAAATGTCTGCTTTAGAGCCAGTGTTTGGTTTTCCCACAGTACGTTGCTACGATAACATAGCAGCGCCACAAAATCACGGTTGTAATAATACTGTGTGTCACTGCTTTAATCTGATGAAAATGTGGAGACATGGTGAGCAATACAATTCATCTCATCTAACAGCTGAGTCCTACACATCTAAAAGAGCTGCATTATGGGTAATGTTGGTTTAAACCAGTGCTTCTCAATTATTTTCCGTTACGCCCCCCCTAGCAAGAAGAAAACTATTCGCGCCCCCCATTCCCCACCGTGACTATCCATCTCTGCATAACATTTTTTCCTTATTAACATTTTTTTCACTGAAAAAACTCTAGCGGCTTATCGGCGTGATTGGGATGTAACGTATTTAAGTGACGCGCTAATTTATTTGGCTTCATGCTGTCCGCTGCGAGCATTTTTAGACACAGCAAACACAGCGGTCTTTCCTCTTCTCCAACTGTAGTCACAGTGAAGCCAAGCGCTAAATAAGATTCGTCGTATTTCCTCTTCTTAGCTTTCGGTTGACTTTCTGTTGTCTCATTATCTTTGTCTCTCTCCGCTTTTCTTTTCATCCCTGTGAAAAACTTTTTCATGTTGGGGGTTGTTGAATAACGGAGGCCATAGACAGAACGCAGTCGGAGCTTTTTGTTGACTTAACACTGTTAACCAAGGCAAACCTGTTGTCTTGTAAGTCGTAAAATGTTGCACTGTCGCAAACGTGACAGAAGTAACAATGAGAGCGCCACTGCCGCCTACTGTGCGCAATTACACTTTATACTAGTACCGCCAAAAAAAGCCTGTTCCCCCGGATCACACGCCCCCCCAGGTATCGCACCGCGCCCCCCAAAGGGGGCCCGCCCCACTATTTGAGAAGCACTGGTTTAAACTGAAGAATGTTTTTCAAACAAAGCATGGTTGAAAATATGCATTAGCAACTATGTAATTTGTCGCTTCTGAGGCGAAATAAAACAATATTTGTTCATATTGACATACACACACGTTTGAAAAACGTATTACGATATAAGTTTTATATCAGTCGATATCGCTGAGCGTTGATTAGTTTTTTTTTGTTTTAAATATCTGAAATCCACAGTTTTCACTTAAACAGCGAAGAGGTAAAACTTGAAACTGCTGTTGCTCAAGTGACTCAACAGGTTCGCTGATTCAACCTTGCTTGGCTAAAGCGAGGAAAGCTTTTCTTATGCCGACGTTTTCCAGAATGCCATGCGGTTGTGTTTTGTAATTATGAGTAGAGTTTGATATTGGAAACGTGATCGGGATATGTTCCTGGTTTCCAGATGAAGGACTGGGCAGCAGCGGGAGGCACTACACCTCCAGCTCCCTGGGCTCGTGTTCGGCCGGGTCCGGCTCCCTCTACCTGTCCGACAGTCAGGACTGGGTGGTTTCCCCCAGCTGCTCTCCAGAAGAAACCCCCGCACAGATCAGCTCCATCTCACCAATGCTGGCCGAAGAGACTCTGCGCTATATGAGTAAGACTGCATCCGGCTTCTCTTCTAACCAGCGTGTGTGTGAACTAAAGAGGAATGCACTGACCTCACCAGAGGGACGCACAGAGGCCAGAGTCACGAGTCTAACTGGGGGGAGCTAGGGCGAATGTAGGACAGTAGGGAAGAAACACGGATAATGTGGAGTTTAAACATCCAAAATGAGGAGGTGTACGATGCCGTCGCTGTGGAAGGTGAGCCGTTAGCATGCTGCTGTTTCCTTGTGTTTATCAGCAAGGTCAGGGAGAGCGCTGCATTGAAATGGTTTGCTCATGAGAAAGGAAGTAGGGTAAATCTCAAGTTTTGTTTACTCTCCAATCAAACAAGTGGTGGTATGCAGGAAGTGAGTTTCCAGTCAAAGAGACAACTTCCTGTTTTCTTTACAAATGCAACAACTGCACGTTCTGCATCAAAACTGCTTTAAAATGCAGTTGGCAATAAAACCAGTGAATAAAAACTACAGAAACGAAAGTCTGAACTGAAGAGCCAAGTGACAATTTTAAGTGCAGAGTTTTTGTTACAGCTTGTTCCGACTATTGATAGCTCTTAAACGATGTCCGGTGCGCAATCAACGAACAGACACCACAAAAACGACTTATGAACTATATTTAGAAAGCATCATTTCTAATTAATACACAACCTTATTTAAATATTCACTAATTTGTCTTTAGTAGTGTCATTTTGCCAAGAGCAAAAGTTGGAAGTAGGTTCTCTGGTTTGATGATTCAGACTGAAAGCATGTTAGAATGACTTAGTCAAAGTCTCATCATAAATCCATTTAAGAATCTGTGGTAAAATTTAAAAGGGGAATCAACCCTGATTTTCTGTAAGTTAAACTGAAACTGATCTTATCTGGCCTGAAAATTGCCGACTGTCCCATTTTTTTCTGCTGAAAGGAAAACTTTTCAGGTAAAAAAAAAAGAAATTAGGATTGGTAGGTCAGAGTTTTAAAGATCAGTGATCAGCCAGAAAACTGAAACAGCATCTGTAGGAAAAAGTTCAACCCTGTTTCAAAACAAACCATCATTTGACCCCATTTTAAAGCCTAGTAATTATTTATACTGCCATTTCCACTTTCCTCTACATTCTAGTTAGTTTATTGGAACCAAAGGTCCAACCAGACATCGACCGTTGTACTGTGTGAAACTCATAAATGTCAAAACGACGCAGTTCGTTAAGTAAGAAGCTGTTGAGTTATGCAATTCATTGTGGCCAGAGTCCAGCCATCTTCGTTCACTGGAACTTATGAAGTAAACGCGAGATTAAACATGATCCAAACTAGACCATGGATGTGCATCGCCTTGACCACAGCGACGTGCTCCAGCCACGAGGTAAAGAGATATGTGTGAGCACACGCTGCGGCCATCTTTCGAGGTTATTTTCAGCCGGCCGGACCCAGAGGTCATCGAGGGGCTCGGATTACCGAACGACGGGCTCATCTGATTTAATTTGCTTTTATTACGAAGGACAGGAGCTGATCTGCTGCCCCACCTTGTTCTTAATCATTACTTTCTATTATCTTTTAGCTAAAACTGTTGGCTATGCTAATGTACTGTGGCTTTTGTACTTTAAATAAAAGGAAATGATTGTAGTGCTCAAGTCCAGCGTTGTTGGAGTGTGAAGCTGCTGCTTCTCTTTAAACAGGTGGAGCTGGGGGAGCTTTTTGTGCTGCGCCGCTGACTCCCACTCAGGTGCTAACAGCAGATCGGACTAATGAGTAGAACCTCAGAGCTCCAGAACGCTAATGTGGTTTATTAAAGCTTCTGCTTTCACGCTTCATTTCTTCTCGTTAGTTTCTTTTTTTCTGCCCAATTCTCCTTTTAAAAACAGGCAGGTTGATTCAACAGTGCTTTGCAGAAGTCCTAGATCTCTTGAACTTATATTTGATGAACCGGGAAAGGTTTAGTGGAAGGAAAACGTCTGCTCTTTGTTTAGAAATAAAATTGAAAAGTGTGGCGTACATTTGTGTTACATTTATTGGTACAGGGTTTACTTGAGTGATTTCATTATGAAGTACTTTTACTTGAGTGAAATTTCTGGATTCTCTACCTATTGCATGAAAAACAAACATATTTCAACCAAAAATTTACCAGATACAGATACTCACCTGTAGTTTTGTCAAAGTTTATAAGGTGTTTATTGATTTGAAAAAAATGTTATTTTGCCTGATTTTGTTGCTTACTTGAATTATTGTCATTTTCATCCTTAGAAAACCAAAATTTCCCCTTAACTTTATATTTTGGTCCATCTGATTGTGTAATTGTGAAATATTAAATGATTGATAATTTGGTCAGTCATGCAGTACTTGAGGATTTTTAACCAAATACTGTTACACTCTTATTTGAGGAGAAATCTTGATTAAAAATCTATCAAATCCTGATCAAAATACATTAAAATTCATAGTCGTAACGTGTTGAATACTTTTGCAAAGCACTGCGTTCTTCTTAAACTCTACCGTCTTTCTCCCTTCTCTCTAGCTTATCTTGCTTTGGAGCCCTCTCCTTACTCCCATCCCGGCTCTCAGAGCCTCTCCAAAGGTATCCCTCTCTCCCTTCCCGCTTCCTGTTACTCTGAAACTTTCTACATTTAACATCGTTGTGAGAGTGGCTTCACTTTCCCTTCATTTGGAGCCTTTTTTTGCCTTCTGCCTGTAGAGAACAGCAGGAAATACGCTTAGATATGTTTGCTGTGTCTTTTATTTGGGTGTGTTGCGAGTAGACAGAACCTTTTGATAAACAGAAAGTAGCATGCTAGCCATTTCCTGTCGCTTGGAGTGAAACTGGTTTTATTTTGAGGCGCATGAATGCAAGTTTTGGTTGCATGTGCATGCTTGATAACGTGTCGACTAGCTTAAAGTTATTTAAAAAAAAACTTTTTCTGGCTCAGTCCTCAGTGCCGATCGAGTCGAGCAGATGACCAAAACCTACAATGACATCGAAGTGGTCACCCATCTTTTGGCAGAGGTAGATATCCCTGGATGACAAATATTTGGCAGCTGGTAACTGTAGTGACCTCCTGCATTCTTATTGGACAGCGAGACAGAGATCTGGAGCTTGCAGCTCGGATTGGTCAGTCTCTTCTGCAGAGAAACCACCTGCTGCAGGAACGAAACGATGCCGTGGAGGAGCAGCTGGCACAAGCAGTGGACCAGGTAACTCATTACAAATTATGGCATGTAACGTTTAGAGAACGAGTCTCCACATTTACGCCATAAAAGAACGAAATGAGATTGAAGGAACAAGATGCCAGAGAGAGATAACAAGCCTTTGTCTGTTTTAAAACCTTTGAAAGTTTGTTTTATACTTATTTATTTTTGAATAACTTCACTTCTTTTTCAGCATGTTTCAATTCGCCCTGCGGTGGAAATTAAATTTACATAACTGTTTCATCTGCTTAAAACGTGGTTGAAATTTTCAAAATGGCCATAAAATTGTAACTTTTTATTTTGTTTAACCCAACTCCAAATAGGAGTTGAAAGTTTAAGCTTTAAACTTGATCAGACTTTTCAAATTCAAATCAAATGTTTGACTAAATTTGCCCTACATTCCACATTTTCTACATTCCAGGTTCACCAGCTGCAGCATGAGCTAAACAAGAAGGATGAACTGCTCCGGATCGTGGCCAGCGCTTCGGAAGAGGGGGAGCAAGACGCCGCAGTGTCGACCCCGCAACAGCAGCCGCAGCTGCTGGGGGGGGCCGCTGCCGCCTCCGCCGCGCTCAGCCAGCTGGAGCAGCTGCAGAACAAGCTGCAGGAGCTGGAGGAGGAGAACCAGGCACTGAGGTCTGAGGTACTAAGCTCCCAAGGTGGAAATTAAAGAATTAAATGGAAAAAAAAGTAGATTTGTTCCAAAAGACAGTATTTTTCTTCCAGGCATGTCAGCTGAAGAAAGACACCATGACATACGAGGAGAAGGAGCAGCAGCTGGTCACCGACTGCGTCAAAGAACTACGTGAGTTGCCGTTGATCTACTCTAGTGAAATTTGTGTTTGTAATGTGACAAAACGTGGATTGTTTCAGACACAGAGGTAACTTTACCTCCTCCTGACGCATCTTCCTCCTCACAGGCGAGTCCAACAGTCAGATGGTGTCTCTAACGGATGAACTGTCCCAGAAGAATGAAGAGCTGCTCAGACACCAGGAGGAAATCGCTCAGCTGCTTTCTCAGATTGTAGAGCTGCAACACAGAGTGAAGGAGGTGAGAACGCCTGGATTTTAGAAGCTTAACCCACATAAAGACCAAAAACTGAGTAAAGACTTGCTCTCTGTTGGTTCTCTAAAGCTGGCTCTGGAGAAAGAAGAGCTAAGGATCCACCTCCAGGCCTCCAAAGATGCTCAGAGACAGCTAACAGCAGAGGTACGCATCCGATTTTGTGTTCGCATTATTGTTGCAAATATTTAAACTTTTTAAGTTAATCCTATGTTTGCGCTCTGGCAGCTGAACGAGCTGGCAGAGAGGAACGCAGAGTGTGTGGAAATGCTCCACGAGTCGCAGGACGAGATCAGAGAGCTGCGCAGCAGAAGCAGTCCCTCCTCCGGGATGCGACGACATCTTTCATACGGCCTCTACCCCATGGTAAGAAAACTATTTATTATATGTGTAAAAATGATTTTAGTTGGTCTATTTAGAAAATCTGATCCCACACAGGAATCGTTGGCAGCAGAGATTGAAGGTTCAATGAGGAGAGAGCTGAGCATCGATGAGGAAACCGCCTTTCAAGACCAAAGGTTGGAGATGTAAATCTGACTGTTTGTTCCAGATTTCAACTCATACTTTCAACTCTTTAGTTGAAGCATTTTAAGCTTTAAGAAATAAAATGTATGTAACGGTATTGTCTACATATATTAGGAATGTGCTCTGCTCTGTACAGTTTCTAGAAAACAAACAATGTTTTTGATTTAGATAGATTGAGTCTTGCACTAAATGTACCGAAACAAAATAATTTAAAATGCCAACATGCAGATTTCACAGTCAGTCAGTTCCTGAAATCACACACAACAAAAAAAAAAAACTTGGAAAAGTGAAGTGCATCCCTGCTAGACTGTGCACAGGGTTAAAAAGATTACTTGTATCAATGTCATCTGCATATAGTCAACATTTACAAATTAGAAACAAAACTTATTTTTATTCTTACCTGTCTGTCAGAATTTCTCAAAAGAGAGTCTTCCAAACAGTCCGCTCGGTCAACGCCTCAGCGTCCCGCGCTGCTTTGGCCACCCCGCCTATCCCCGGTTCTGGACAGAGTTCTCTAGTAATGACCTCCCAACCTTTCCAGTCAGCAGAAGGGTAAGAAACCTGTATCTGACCTACAGTCACGATGTAATGACATATTTTAAGTCTTTAAGTTTTGATGCATATCGTGTTTGCAGGGATGAGGTACGAATGGGAAAGCCAGGACAACCAGGAGGAAATGACCTCACCAAAGCTCTCCATCGACTCTCTTTAAGGCGGCAAAACTTCCTGTCTGAGCGTCAGTTCTTCCAGGCGGAGCGTGAGAAGAAGTTGCAGAATGAGACGGGGGCAGAAGCTGGCAGCGAGGGCAGTTCCCCAATGGGCAGCGTGCTCTCCTCCTTTTCCAACCTCTCCGATCTCACAGTTGGCTCCACTATTTTCAAAACCTTCCTGCCGGAGAAACTTCAAATCGTCAAACCAATGGAAGGTAATGTTTCCACTGCAACAAAAACATCATTAGAAAATTCATGCACCACTAACATTCTTAAATCTAATTTGCAAATTACTATTAAAAATTTCTTTAAATTTTAAATGTTTTATTTTTATTGGAGAAAATGTTTAGCTTATGCATTTTTGTATTTACTAAAAAATATTTAAATTGGCTTAAAATTAGCTGAATTACATTAGCTTGATTATTCTAACTGGCTAGTGCCATTTGCTAATCTGAGCAAAGGTTTGTCACAATTAAGTAAACTGGTATTTAAAGCAGTTGCCGTGTGAGTAATAGGTGTTGGTTCAGACATTATAACTACAATATTTTTGATTAACTCTTTGAGCTAAATGTCAAAAGTTAGCATTGTAACATTAACTTGTGAACCGTTTCGTCTTCTTCAAAATAGAAAAGTATTCCCTGCACTTAACTTATTTTTTGTGTAATGTTAGAACGTTTTTCCAAATTTAAAATTCTATGCACAAAATGCCATCATGACTAAGTATGAAATTGAACGATTTTATACTTTCTGCTCCAATATGCACTGTTCTTTCCAAATTTAGATCACATTATGTTTGTTTTTAGGCTCCCTGACGCTTCATCACTGGCAGCAGCTCGCCCAGCCTCACCTGGCCACCATCTTAGACCCGCACCCTGGGGTTGTGACAAAGGGTTTCCGACCTCTGGCTCAGGATGCCATGTTCCGGTTGTCAGACATGGAGGAAGACGAAGAGGCTGAAGAGCACAGAGAGATTGCTGCCCTTGAGAAAGGAACAGCTGAAAAGGGTAAAGAGGAGCTGGATGAGGAAGAGGAGGAATGCGGGATAACCTTTAACGTTCGCCGTTCATCCACATCAGAGGACAGAAACCGTTCTGTTGCACCTTGCACCAATGCCCCTCCCCCCTCGATCCAATCAACACCACCTGGAGCGCCTTCCACTTCCTCCTTTGTCCCTTTGGACCTCTGTTTGACACCCAGTCACGTCACAGAGAAATCCAACCAATTGGCTCTTCCCATTCCAGGAGTTTCTGCAACAGCTGTCCAATCACAAACTAGAGTTTCCACCTCAACATCTTCTTCTTGTGGTACAGTTTTTCTTAAAATGTTAATACTTTAATGTGACAACATCACTGTGAGATTTTCTCATGAGCTTTGTTTTGTGTTCAGTCCAAAACCCAGGAAAGAGTCAGAGCTCCACCTTCTCTACCTACACCTTCACAACCTGTCGTATTCTCCACCCTACTGACATCACACAGGTCACACCAAGGTAAGCCAAAAAAATAAGGTGAAACATCAGATTTGCAAGAGCTGTTTTGAGATAACTCTAAATTCCAAGTCATTTTCTTGACTTCTTTGTGTTTTCTAGCTCTCAGTCGTCCCTTTCAGCCAACACGCCCAGCTCCATGAGAACGGGTCCCAGTACTCCGGTAACTCCCTGCAGGCTGAGTTTGGGTGACTCCTTCCCGCCCCGACGCCCTCCAGCTCCCCCCTGCAGCTTGGCCAAACTGGTCCAAGAGAGGGGTATTTCTGCACAGGTTTCCACTGATGTACCCTCTCCATTGCCCAGATCTGCTCCACGGCAACCCCTGTTGCGACTCATGCCAAGCACACCGCCCAACTCCCCCTCTCACTCTCCCACTCCCTCGCCTGTCCCTGCAGAGCCCCGCCAACATCCGTCTGACAATTTTCTAGCCTCACGGCCTGCAGAGCTTTTTCTCCAAGATGTGTACGGGTTGAACCTAGGCCGAGCTCCACATCCTGACCTGCCCAGCCCTTCTCAGCAAACCCCCAGCCTCTCCTCTTGTTCCAAGCCAGGCCGAGACAAGGCTAACCTCGTCAGCGTTGGTCTGGTAGAAAGACTTTGTCGTTTGGGGTTCACTAAGGTGCTGCACAGTTCAGAGTCTGACACGCCAGTGCCGCACCAAGAGTCCGCCAAGTTTGTGTCGGCAGGTGGTGGAAGTTTGATGGACGGCCTGCGGCGCAATCAGAGTCTCCCGGCGATGATTGGCGCCAGAGCAGGAAGTAAGTCAACCGGACATCCTCTTCATCCGACCTCCCTAGCTATCCCCCCACCACCATGGGGAAACCTTAAAGAACGACGCCGGCATCTTGCCTCCATCTCGCACCCTCCAAGAAGTTCAAAACACTAAAGGAAGGAGTCACATCGCTAGCACCTCCACCTAAACTCTTTCCTTTCTACATTTTGGAGAGAAGAGTCAGGGAATCAGCGGGAAGAACAGTCCCTCCTTTTCATGACGTTGGTGAAAAGCACAATTGAACGTTTATAGTGATGCTGAATTTTCTAAATGTACTCATTCGACATGACGCTTGGCCTTAGCTTGACTCTTGTGTTGGGTTTGCATTTCAGTAATTCTCGTGAGACTCTGGATGTTCAGGTGCAACTTGAAGCAGGATTCCTTCGTAGTCAGGAAAAGGAACTTGATCTCGGCATGTTTCCAAGTGAGGATAATTTGAGAAAAAGAACAGTTTGGAAAAGACTATACTTTATTCCCAATCCTAATATCTAAAGGTTCTTTCTTCTTTTTACTGAATTCTTCCTTTTCATTTCCTCCTTTCTGCATAAATTTATTTTTATTTCTGTATCCTTTTCATCTCCTTCTATCCGTTGCCTCCTTTTTACCTTTTTCCTGTCTTCCCCATATTCTGCATTCCTTTTGTGTGTCTTCTGAATGTATTTCTCGTTCTTGCTTTTTTCCAGCATTCATAGAACTGTTTTCTGTAAATCAGTGGTGAATGTTGGTTTGTTTATGTTTTGAAATGAAGGTAAACATTGGAAAGTTGAGCCTGAAAAAGTATGTAAGTGTCTGAGGGTTTGTGGAAGTCGATAAGAAAGAACGTTTGTTTTGTTGGATCATGAGGGAAAGTGGTGATTGATTGAACAACTGAGCATCCAGAGTCTTGCTGTCCAAGGGCTTGTTCTGTAATCAGCAAGAAGAACTGTAGAACAATGTCATCCCAGCCTATAACCCCCGTAAATGGTGATTATGTCCGCTTCTAGAAAGACGAGCCTCTGGTGTCGGTGGAGGAGCAATCTGACTTCCTTTTATTACTTAGGCGCTAGCTAGAAGACTTAAAGCATAACATGAAACTGCCAGGCTAATCCTGTAGTCCAGCTATGCCTGTAAACATACCAGTGATGGGTTTATTTTTACTGTTAATATACCTTAACTTTTCCATCCGTGTGGTGTGGCAAACGCATCTGCATGAAAAGCAACATTGCCTACATGTCCCAGCATGCATCTGTCAAAAGGCAGGTGGGGACAGGTTAAAGCAAGGCTAAAACCAAAATTGACAAAATGTTAAAAATAGGGAATGGGGTGTGAGAGGAATCCGTTTTTCTTCAGGTTTTGTGTGTTTTTATGAATATGAGGCCTTAAATAGAGGCAAGCACTATTTTCAATAAAGTTTGTTGCCATGTTTTAGTTGCACTTAGTCGGTTCTGGGGATCATTGCTGAACTGGACTGAACATATTTGATTTTTCTCAGAAGTCAGCTTCAGACTAAAGGGAAAGGGCACATGCAATACCAACATTGGCCAGCAGGTGGGAGCATTTCCCACCTAGAAAGTACTTGAAATCAGTTTCTAAAATGCCTAAACATTAACTTGTATCTGCTCTTATGTTCTATAGTTAACCTTTAGTAACATCTGTATTTAAATCCTGACATTAATGAAAACATGTTATGTGTCCGGTAACAATATAAGCTAATAATTTAACTAATGTTGCATTTTTCTCCACATAGAGGGAATCCATATTGATGTAAAAAACTTTATTTTTGTTAAAAATAAATATTTCAGGCTTGTATATGTTAAGCATTGTGAAAAGGAAAAAAATTACCTCTGATAAAGGCATAATGAGTATTTCCATCTTTTCCTTGTAAAATTTAAAGTTCCGCTTTGTGGCTTTTGATGGATTAAACATCTAAAATAAAAACAGAACTTCCTGGTGTTTCCCAGCTGTAATCAGAATCCTATGTTGTTGCCTCTTTTGTAAAATAAAGCTACTGAAATTAAAAAGTCTGGTTTATTATGAGAGGTTTGTTTGGGGATGTTGTGGAGGAACTTATGAAGATAAAGGAAGGTGTTAAAAGTGTTTGTTTTTACAACTGATAGCAGCTGATCAGCATCTCAAAAATAATGGCCTAGTCAAAGTACAGTTGAGAATCTGTGGCCAAGCTTCTTCACAGACCCTCTCCATCCAGTGTTGATGTCCAAAGCTGGTAGAGACGCACCCCAAATGACTTCAGCTGACTCCAAGGGACTGAATACAAATGCATTCCACTCTTTTTAGATTTTTATTGGTAAAATTTGAGTTAAACTTTTAAATTTTGCACCAATTTGTGTTGATCCATACATTAAATTTGAAAGAAAAAAATGAAGGGGATGGGGATTTGAATCCTTACAACCAGACTCTCGATAGCTTTACCTCGGTTTAATCGTTCAGCGCTCCGACCCGCCGCCTCACAGTGGACAGATCTTAATGCTGTCACAGCTGGATGAGAACTGCCCCAGGGCGAAGTCCAGACCCACCCCGACCCCGCTCCCCACTCCGAACGTCGCATAAATCGGCTGGGTGAAGTTAGCCCTGAAGCTGTGGAGGTGCATCATGTTATCCGCCACGCTGTAGAATGCCAGCATCCCCGCCGACAGATCGGCGTAGACGCCCAGGCGGGGCGAGTAGGTGACGGGGATGTCCCTCTTCTCGTTGGCGTGCATCGCCGAGCAGCAGGTGTCGGACAGCTCCAGCGTCCAGGACTGGGCGTTGTAGCCGAGGCCAGACCGGGCGTCGTTGCCCTTCCTGCTCAGCGAGGCGTAGGCCACGCCCACTGAGGAGCCACGCCCCCTCCACTCCACCTCCCAGTAGCAGCGCTGGGCCTGCAGCGGGCTCTGGCACATCACCTGGGTCCAGCCGTCGAAGCGCTGGGGTGTGTCGGCGTACGGCTGCGTCGGACCCTGCAGGGTAGCCTTGGTGTTGCCTTCGGAGAGTACCAGGCGCTTGTGAGCTGTGTTAGGGTCAAGGGTCAGGATCACAGAATCTAGAAGAGAACAGTTGTTATAAAAATGCTTTAAATATCAAATATGAAACTGGGCCTGTCTCTTTAAGCAACTTCTGCTCTTTCCGCCTTCAGGAAGTCGTCACAACATGGGTCCTCTATTAACCAGTGTTTCACTGAGAAGATATTAGACCCCCACTGTCTGCTAATTGCTGCTGGCTAGTCTGAAGGAGCTGTGTCTCAAAGGTGGGGCGAGATACAACCAGGAATTTTGCACAGCTGAATAGTTTCCATGGAGATTAACGGATTTATCAAACGTGTATGAAGGAAACAAGGGAAACTCCAGCTCTGGTTTTGATGATGTAAAGCTCAAAAAAGAAGATTTTACATAATACTGCCCCTTTAAACAAAATGTAGTTCCACTTCTTTCACTCACACTGGAGAAACTCCTCTCTGGATCTTGGTTCTGGTGCCTGGATGCTGTCAAGGTTGATTTCTCTCACTGGAAAAATTGGCAGTATGTCATTGAATGAGCAGATCTTATGGTTTAGTTATTGTTGCAACGTATAATGTCAGACATATTTGTTATAAAGAGGTGACAGTGTTGGCTCACATGCAGGAAAAGCTGGAGCTTGAGTCATGGCGTTAGGTAGAGGCGTGTCCAAGAACAGACCTGGGTTAACTGTCCAATGAGAAGCCACGATTAAACCGTTTCTCTAAACTACGAGACGTTTATCAGGAATGAAGAGCAGCCATCTTACTCTCTGTTGGTGTTTCTAACAGATCCGCCATCCCGCCTGTTGGACCAAAGAATTAAAAATTAAAACTTCTCCCTGGTGTTCAGCGTTAACCAAACTTTTTACTGTTTTGCTTCCTGAAATGAGCAGATTGATCAAACACTGATGGAGGAAGCGTTTGGGTCTTACCCAGGTTTCCTCCTGCAGCTGCGGTGTTATTAACCGGTGTGGCCTGGTTGGCGCCTCGTCGGTGTGAGCGAAACAGACTGCTGATCGACGCCATCCTGCTGAACGCTGCATACAAGGAGGAACGTTTACTTACTTTTTCATAAATGCTGCAGTACTCACATTCCGCCACATGGTGGCGACAAAATGCAACAATGTGATTATACCAGTGGATGAAGCTGGAGCTGGAGCTGGAGTGGGAATGGGAGTGGCTGGGATTGGAGTAGGAGTCGTAGCTGCAGGAGGGGCGACCGGGTTTTGACTAGACCTGCTCCAGAGAGACTGGCCCCCTCTGCGGCTGGGTGTGGGGCTGGGATTAGACTCCCGCTCTGTTGGGATGGAGATATGAATATTTCCACGGCTTTGAACTTTTAATTGTTGCTGTTAGGCTTATATTTGAAAGACAGAAAGTAGTGAAGAAGTTTGAAGGGGAAGAAAATATGTATATATTTTAATAAAAATGTGAAAAGATGTTTCTCGCTGAAGCTCTATGAGCATAATTTACACAGTGCAAATCAACTGACTGTTACCTTCATTTGCAATAAAAATCCTTTATATATTTATATCTATTTAATATACGACTTAAAAGAAATCTGACTTTGTAGCTTAATACCTTGAAATTGGGCCTCTGTGTCTTTAAGAAGCTTCTAGTCTTTCTGAAACATTTTTAACAGCGTTGAACTGAGAAGTAGCTTGTATAATGAGCTCAGCAGATGCTCAGTTGGACCAGGTGTTTGCTAATTGCTGCTGGCTAGTCTGAAGGAGCTAAATGGAGGCATTGTGGGAAGGGATGGAAAACACTCCAGGTATGTTTTTGATGAGGGAATAAGATTATAACATTATGTAAAGCTAATAAAAGAAGTCAATTTAACATAAAAAAGAGATACAGGTTTGGACTAGGCCATTCTTTGCATGTATTAATAATTTCAGTTCCATTTCAGCATGTCATGACCTCCAGCAGGAAGCGAGGAGATTTTTAAACCCCAAAAAGACGCCCGCTTACCCTCTCTCTCTCTCTCCTCTCGTCTTCGTCTGGGCGAGTTTGTGTTTCCTCTGTCTGCAACCATTTTGAAAACATGCTTATGTGTTTCTGCTGACTGCACGAAATTCAAAAGCAATCTTTTTAAAAATCTCACCTCGAGGTGCGTCCCTGCTCCTTACGTTGGGACCTCTGAGTGCTGCTAGAGATAAAAACCACTCACCGCCATGTATGACTGAAATCCTTTCAAATTAAAGTTCTTAAAAGCGTGGCGTACCTAGTCCTTGTCGGTCTGCACTTCGGACATCCAGTGAAATGCTTGAAGTCGGGGTACGGTTGTTGTTGCTTTTACTCAGACCGGAAAACACTAGAAAGAAGAGAAAAAAAACACCCGTCAGGTTTATGAAAATACTTTCTGAAATGTTCATTAGAATTCAGAAGAAAACTCACAATCACGAAAAACGTTTTTCCCTCCCAAACGGCTGGCTGGAAAAAAAAAAACAGAAACCGTCATTATTGGGTTAAAAAAGCTAAAAATGTTCTGTGATGGCAAAAAGGACAGCGCTCGGTACTTACAGTTTCCCAAAGTGAACAGTTTGGTTTCATTGACTGAAAGAGATCAGATGAAACGGTTATGACTTGAAAGAAATGTCCAAACCTGCACTGCAAAAACATAAAATCTTACCTAGTATGTTTGGTCCAGTTTCTAGAGCACTTAAAAAAAAGACAAAACTAACTTACAAGTAAATTTTCAGCAAGAATTATCAGCTTGGTTTCTTTAATATTGGTATAAAAAACACTTATTGCACTGCTAGATTATTTCTTTTACAACTAAACATTTTTTCCACATTATAAGTGAAATAATATGGAATGTTAAGGATTTTTAAAATTAAAACAAGTTCATATATATTGCTGAAAAGTAAATTGTAAGTTAGTTTCGTCTTATTTCAAGTCTACAAAGGTATTTTCTGTAGAAATTGGAGAAAAATATTTTTGTGGAGTTTCTTTAGACAGACCTTGCTTGTTGATCTTCCCCAGCTCCTGATTGCACAGATCCTCCACTCGGTCCCTGAGGGCCAGCACTACTTCTAGAACGGGTTCAAAGGTCGCATTGTGATTGACGTGCACGGCGGGCAGGTCGCCGCAGTCAAGGGGACTGCTCATGGTGTCGCAAGTCTGAGGATAAGTAAACGGCTTTATCAACACTAATGGAAATGTTTTCTCTCATGTTAGGAAACTTTAAGAGCAAATTCACAATAAATGAAACTATGATTTTTACATAAAGTTATCACACTTAGAATGTCACATCAGCTCTAGCCTACTGTTAACATTTTACTTTAAAATATTGTTGTATTAATCACCCTATTTATGGTTTTCTTTTTGTGTGTGTCCTCTTTTATTTTTCTAATATATTTGCTTTTCCCTCTCCCAAATTATTCCAAGTTGATGTATTGTTCATAGAAATAAGAAAAACAAATATTTCTGTGTTTTAAGTTGTAACTGACTGAAAAAATTAAATAAAAACAAGGTACAGATGACTCTTCATGAGTCATCCGTACCTGGAGGTAGTAGATGTTGTCTACACAGTCCGCCAGGTCCTTCATTTCCGTGTCCCTCTTCCTCCGCTCCCTGATCTCGGCCTCCAGGTTGTCGGCGACCTCCTGGGCCTGGTTCATCTTCTCCAGGCTGGACTGGTCCAGTATCTCCTCCACCACGTCCTGCAGACGCTCCACGGAGCGCAGCAGCTCGCCCAGAATGTTCTCTGTCTCATCGTGCACCTTGTCTGCAGAACGCTGTTGCCAAGATTGGAAACCCACTCACCAATTAGCTCGTTTTATCCGGACAGCAAAACATGGTATTTTAATGTTGAATTATGGTCAATTGACGGTCAAACAATCTCCCAATTTTATCCAGTTAACGAATTGGAAAAGTTGTTTAAATGGATTCAATTTCTGACTAACCACTTTTCAACATTGGATACTAAATTTATCTTGCAGTTCTACCAACCTTCACTCCTTCCATCATCTTCTTCAAATCCTTCAGCTCCTGCTCCCTGTGTTTCAGCTTCAGCTGGTTGTCTGCTTGGATGTCTGAAAGCAGCTTCTGCACAGGGATGAAACGGCGTGAGAAACAGGACGAGCAGAAGGAAGCAACTAGGTACAGCAGTGACTGGGAGGAGTGATGTAATGGGATAGGAATGCTGTTAGGAATGCATTCAGCCTGGCTTTAGACTCATTACCCGACAAAAGGTGCAGAAGAAGGACACGTCAGGCAGAAAGCCGTTAGGTACAACAATAAGCGCCTCGCAGGAGGGTGGATTCTGGAGTTTTACTCCCACAATGACTTATAAAAGTATTTATATAGCTTGAAGTTTTAACATTGTGACCTTTGTTGTGTTTCTTGAGATAAGCTAATAAAAAGTTGCACAAAATGTTGAAGAGAAGGGAAATCATGATGGCAATGAAAGCAGTTAAAGTCCAGGTTTTAGTTTGCGACAAGATGAAATCAATACTGAACCTTTTGGGCTACATCCAAAATGCTAGAACATTAGCATTGTACTGTTGGGATGTTTCTCTTTAGCAGGAACAAGGAAGATGGTCAGAGTTGATGTGAAGATTGATAAAGCTAAATAAGGGACAATACAGGAAGAGAACCTGTTGTTGAAGACTTGAGTCTTTAGCTTAGAGTCTTGGTCTCTCACAAAATCCCAACAAAATGCCCTGAAGTCTTTACTTGTAACCTGTCAAAATGTGAAAAATACAGAGTTTGAGAATAGTTGCCCTCAGGAATCGTTTTTACGCACCTGTCGCTCCAGTCGCTCAGCCTTGGTAGACACACACTCGTGGTCTTTGTGCTGATTGCTGGTGCACAGCCAGCAAACAAACATCTTGCACTGGCGACAGAAGAACTCCTGCAGGTACTTGTGCTGGGTGCAGATCTTCTCCGCCAGATTGCTGGTTGGCGGGATGAGCTCATGCTGCTTAAGAGACTTCTTGGTCTGGTGAGGCTTCAGGTGGGACTCGCAGAAGGAGCTCATGCACGCCAGGCAGCTTTTCACGGCGGCACGCTGCTCCCCTTTGCACATGTCGCACAGAACAGCTCCGGTGGACAGCTTGGACTTGGATCTAGAGGATAACCCGCGAGCGCTTCGGATGGAGTCTCGAACTTCTGATTTGAGGGCCCCTTTGCGGAGCTGCTCCACAGCCTCGGCCAGCATGGTGTTTCTGGACAAGGGCGGCTTGGGGCAGAAGGTCTGGCGGCACTGGGGGCAGCTGTAAATCCCTTTGGGGTCATCCTTGCTCCAGAAGTCTCTGATGCAGGCCATACAGTAGCTGTGTCCGCAGGGTATGGTGACTGGATCATTGGGGAGATCAAGACACACGGGGCAGTTGAACTGCTCCTCCGTCCACAGTTTCCCACTCATTGTGATTCAGCCAAATACAAAGAAAGTCCAGAGATGTTTAGCTGAGTCCTCAAGATTAATCCAGAAATTCTGGAAGATTGTGCGCAACCCAGATTCTCAGGAGGAAAATGTTGAGTCTCAGGTGAGAGAAAGCAAAAAGAAGAGATGGGTGGGGCCAAACTCACCAGGCAAGTCTAGCTGGGGAAACGGGTGTTGGCAGAAAACTGCTGAATGTGAGTGTCTGGTCATTGTGCTGTTCATGTGATGCAGGACTACAAGAAACTTTCAGGTTTAGGTTTCTTTCCTGGTCACAAGAGTGAAGTAGAGATAGATTTAGGGAGAGTTAAAAAAAAAAGTCTTGGATCTTCAAATAGCGAATCAGTATAGGAGGAGTTACTTTAAGGAAAATCACAGTACCTCCCTAAAGAATGGTAAAATGAGTCAGTCATGCTGGTTTGGCTACTGAGGGCTATTCACTCCCTTAATTTACTTGGGTTTTAAATTTTTTATCACAATTGTTTCAGAAAATCCAATAAAGTAAATACAAAGATACTGATATTAACTTTTTGCTGTAAGCTAATGATGGATCAGAGTTAACAAATAATCATAGCCTATAGGCTGTCAGGTTGTGTCCTTTAGCTCAATCTAGCTTAGGTTATAACACAACAATGATCTAAAACTCCACCTCGGAATACAGTGGCTAGGCTAATACTAGTTAGCCTAGCCTAGCTAATGATAGCATAAGCTAGGCTAGGCTAATACCTTGTGCTTTCATCACCATTCCACAGCTAACAAACATTTCAAATCACTTTGAAACAGAAGCACGACTAAGCTAGCAGAAAACTAGCTACCTGCTAATACAGGGTTTATTTATTTTTATCTTTGGAAATAAAAGCTTTACCATGAAACATAGTTTATTACAAAACTTGTACAATTTAACTCTGTAAACAAATCAACCTTATTAACCTAATTTATGCAAAATGATGTGTGAATGTTATTAGAATTTAATGTTTCCTCACAATTTGTAGTGATTTTTGACACCAGAATCATAAACTTTGAGTAATGACTGCTGTGTTGTTTTGTTATTCCACATAAAAACATTTTTTAGAATTAAAACATGACAAACAGAATCTACAAGTGCCATGTAATGATCTGTTCCTGTGGGAGAAAACTCAACCTATTTGTACGACGCAATACTTGGCTTTATCAAATCCTAAATCCCTCAATGGGGTCGCTTTCTTTTGCTTAATCACAATAATGTTTGCCAGAGCAGGTTTTGAATTTAATTATAATGAAGTGTATGTGAAGTGTTTACATTTCCATTTTGCACTACCAGAAAAAATGTCTCGAGAAGGCCTGCAGTTGTTGTACGTAAGAGGTTTTGGATTTATCTACTACCAAATTGTGAATGCTGTCAATAGAGATCTGTTGTTTGAATTGTTCAGTGCAGCTAAAGGAAACAAGACGAAGGAGATGGCATCATGATCATGACAACAAGATCACAGTAAAACAGAGATGCAACAATATTATGAAGCAAAGACAAAACTGTTCACTTGAAATATTAACATATTAGCTTTTCCAACAGGCAGGACCAAAAAGAGCAAGTCTGCAATCATCCAGTCTCTAATAAGGGTCAATCAAACTGAAAATCAACCAATTTTTGCCATCTGCAAGACAGAAACAAGATAAGTTTCTCTGTCAACTTGTCTTGTGTATTCTCTTGAGAATCAAAGCATGGTGCTGGAGGTGTGATGACATGGGATTTCTTGCAGTTTAAAACCTCAAGAAAGAAAAGCAAAGCTCTAAAGCTGATAAAATTAGATAGTAAAAATCTACCGAGAGTTATTGCTGTTGAATGGGTTGTTAAAATGTTTGAACATTTTTAGTACATCTTAATGTAGAAATAGCTACACTTGGAAGAGCGTTATCTTTTTTCTTTTTCATGCCATGACCCTAATTTTGAGAAACAAAACTTTATCTGAAGAATGGACGAAGGGAAACACAAATCTGTACGAGACAGATTTCCTGATTTATGTTTCTGACAAAGAAACTTGGGAGAAATGTGCTAGCAGAGAAGTGGCGAACATCACTTCAGCGGTAAACTCCATCAAGCTTTCAGGGCAAAATTACAATCATGAAGCATGAAGCTGGAGAAAACCAAAAGGGAGTTTTGAACATTTTTTCACATTCATCAGGCCCTCCAGGATTTTGGTTTTGTATTTTTTTGCCATCAAAATAACAGTTTAGAAATATTTGTATTTATGTGTGATAGTAAATGTGACTTTTTGTTACTTGGCGTTTCGGTCGCAGACTACAATGAGAATTCAAGTAAGACTGAGGCAGCAGTGGAGAAGAAAGAAGAAGTACTGTCACCTACAGGTGGGAGTTAGCAATCACTTAAACCTGCAGTAAGTCATTTTTATAAAAAATACAAATAAAAAAAATGTTGTGATAGACGAGACAGATAATCTGTGAAAAAAAAAAAAACTGCGCTTCCCCCAACCAATCAGTCAGAATGTTATGCTAAGTCTAGTTAGCATGGCTATCAATAACAGCAGTAAACAGTTTTTTGTAAAGGCAAGTTGTTTCTCTTCCATTAGCACATTTAACAGTGAGTACATGAGGATGATTGACAGCACTAAGCCCCGACTCCTGGCTCTGATTGGTTGTTTTTCGTCCATTTCTCTAGAGTCATAGCAGCTCAGAGAGGAAGTGGAGAAGATTGGTCTTTCCACAGATTATCTATCTCATAATATGTTTTAACAAATATGTAAAAAAGCCAACATTTTTTAATGAAACTTACATACTGCAGCTTTTTTGGGAGAAATTGTTAATTCAAGAGGAAACACTGTAAAATCTTTATTAGTAAAAATTTTTGTTTTCCTGTAGTACTTTGAATTTATCATGCATTTCTTAGCCAATATTTCATCCTAACAACTTCAAGCTTCTAGCATCTTTTTAAGGTTTTGCTTAAATATAAAAACTACCCATTTTACAGTGTGAGGTCAGCTTTTCTGCTCACATCAGGTTGACCCCTAGCACTAACAGCATGGTCCAGAGCGCTGCTGCGGTGGCCGCGGCGCCGTTAAAGGTCTTGTCGTGGGCGTAGGTGATGATGTGCAGGGCGCCGCTGTAGGCCTCCTCGCAGGTCGGCTGGATCTCATCCTGGGGGAGCTGGAAGCCGTAGGTGCCGTTATCCCTCAGCTCGAAGGTGAAAGTCAGGGGGATGTCCTGCATTCGGGCCCAGTCTCTGGATGAACCAGAGTTGGGGTCTGAAGAGAGGATTATGTTGGTAAAACCCTTCAAACCTGTGATTTATAAGTACTAAAATAACTTTATACATACATAACACAGCTGGAGAGGTTCCGACTCTGTACTTTTTCCCATGGACTTTCCAAATGGCTTCAGCTGCTTCCTCTCCCACCTTCATCTGAAGAATCGGGAATATTCAGACAACTCTTCTCATTGATTTATTAGGCAAAGCATACAGGAATCTGTTTACCAACCAAAGAAACGCTCTGGAGCTTCATCTGGATTCATGACTCCATCCTGTTACTGACATATATTATGGCGAAATGAGCAGAGAGATTCGGCTCAGCTGTGCTCGGCGCCAGAGAACGGCAGCGCCGGCCATGCACAAACACTTCGGCGGGGGAGTGCGAGAACACAACGAGGAAACACTGCGGCCCGGTTTTAGTCACAGTGGGCCTCGACAAATGCCAACTGTTTATATGGGATCTGTTTTCATCTTGAGATCATGTGTGCATTCATACTAGATCACCAAAATTTCTAGTTTTGCTTATATTTCTGGTTTAGCTTTCAATCTTTAGAGTAAAGAGCTGAACAAATAATAGAAAACTAATATTGCTAATGAATGTTTGTGATAGTAGGGCATAAAATACTTGTCTTAATATTCACAAAACACCTACGAGAAACCTACAGCACAGCGAGTCATTACAGGAAGTTAGAAAATTGGACATTTAAAATTCCAGGAAGGAATCGCTGAAAAATAGATCAGAATGTTTATGATTCACTTTCCAGATTGCTTCTACTGAGGAAATATTTGTGAATCTATTCATAACCGCCATAATGTTTCACTAAATTTGTGATACATTGACATTTTTTGTATTTAGCAAGACTGAATTTAAATCAAATGGAAATAGAACTGATTGTAAAAATGAATTAGTGTTTGGATTTGGCCAAAATCATCCTCTGAAATGTGCAAAATCTAATCAAAATGAACAAAAATAAACATTTGAAACATCATTCTTTGATATGTTTCACATTTTGAATTCAAATACTGGAACAAATTAACTTTTCTATGGTGATTTGGAGAACTGAGAGAACTCAGCATTCATTAGTCACTCCTCTGTTGAGTTCAGCCAACCTTAGAAACAGCAGCACCGCCTGAACGCTTCTCTGTGCTAGAGGCCAGGAACAACACATGGAGCATCATAATCCCTTTTTGCGAACAGTAACTCTTGTCTCTTTTAGGTTATTACCTGCATGGTTCCTGGTCAGGCTCTCATTTGCTACTAACTGACAGCTTCCTCCTGCTTGTTCTGCTTTGCTGTTTGCAGATGAGGGTTACAATGCATGTCATTTATTTACATAGAGCCAATTTATTACATATTTCCTCATGCACAATCAGCACAGACCTAATATCTCATGCAACCTGACAGAATGCAAACAAAATGTGCACAACAACACAAGCTCCTAGTGCAGATGGTCCTGTGCAGCTACAGAGTATTGCATGTGCAAAGCATGCATGGATGTAAATACCAGCTCATCGTAATTGGAGGCGGTGAAGTCAGGGTTTCCATAGGGAATCAGGAGCAGCTGGCCGTAGGAGTGGATGGTGAGGAAACACAGGAAGTCTTCCTTTCTGCTTCCCACAAAGTAAGTCACGGCCTGGGCCTCGGGTTCTGAGATGGGCCCTCTGCCGGGGTAGATGTTGGAGTTACAGTCAGACGACACTCCGATGGCTGTGAACGAAAACAGAATCAGTTGCTGACACAAACCAACAAGCTGCTTCCCAACGCGGCGCTCGGTGATGAGACACTCACTGCCCCAGTTGGCATCAAAGTTGCGGTTGAGGTCGGTGCCGTAGCAATCGCCTGAAGGTCCCGGTGACCTGTTCTTCCTCCACAGTCGGGTCTGAGAGGATCAGAGTGTTCAGTCAGTTGGGTCTAAATCCAGCAACGCAAGAAATTAACCACTTGACATTTTTCTAAATATTAAACCGCTGATGTCTCCTATACTTTGGGCACATCGGAAGTCATCTTCTTCGATGATTAAACCGCAAATCATTTTTACTCGAGTGCCCTTTTCCTAATAGCACATCCTCTCATATCCTGCTCATGTCCAGCTTGAGAGCTTTGCAGCAGATCAACCGTATTTAATTTGATGAATATCCATCAAGATACTGACTGAGGAGTTCGTCCAGGAGAAGATGTAGCCGTCGATGTTGAGCACCGGCGTGACGTAGAAGTCCATGTTTGTCACCATGGCTTCCATTTTAGCGTCGGTTTTGTACGTTTGGAGAATCTGATAAAAAAACAACAAGAAAACAGATTGAAAGAGTTTAATTCTGCATAAAATGGCAGACGTTAACTCACATATTTACTCACAAATTTAAACCAACAGCATCTCCAGGTTCATAGTAACTCTGGAGAACCGTACATCAGGCGGTTCTCTTACCTGTCTGACAAAGTACTGACAAAACGCCGGAGCGATCCATTCTCTGGCATGAATACCACAGTCCATCCAGATGGCTTTCTTTTTGGCGTCAGTCTTCAGGCCGATCTGAAAAACAAGTTCAAATGCCTCTAAGTATCAGCAGATCCCAGCCTTTTCGACCAAATTCATTTTTTAAAACCAGAATCTGGTTCACCCTCATCAAGCTAATCGTCCTGTTCTCATAGCTCTTCCCATAATCCACTATGGTCACAACATCAGGGTATTGCTTCGCCATCTGAGCCATCCAGCTGCTGATCTGTGAGGTGGAACATCAATGGACTTTAATCACACTAAATGTGTTTTATTATGTGTGAAACAACGATCGGGTTCTCTCACCTCCTCCATTGGATGGTATTGGAAGTAATCATACTCTGCTTTGCTGCTTAACAAAGCACAAAATACATGAGAATCTACAAATACTCCTACATTTAGCAGATTTTTAGCGTGAATATGTAATGTGACTGAGAATTTGTAGGTGAAAACCAGTATAAAGTACATAAACAGGAGGAATTTTGCTGATTAAAAACTCACCTGTCCAGTGTCAATGCCCCCACTGCTAAAAGCAATGGCACAAAGCTCAGATTCATCACGCTCAGCATCTTCACTTCGTCAAATGAAGCAGCTCCTTTGTTACCGTCAGTCTCATTCCCCTCTACAAAGCCTTAATGTATATGATCATCTAATAAAAGTTCACCTTTGCCTCTGCCGCAAAGCGCATTCCCACTGTTAATATTTAATCTTTTAACTTATCTGTTGTTATGCAAAGTAATATCCTCATAAACTTGTTTTCAAGATTGTCAGATGTCTGTTGAAGCACTGTAACCATTTAGTTATCACTTGACGCAAAAGCATCTACTGGTGTGTTTTTATTTTGGAAACAAACTAAACCAGCCATGTTTCTTAGCTGAAAGCTGAAAACTGGTTGAAATTGCTAATGGTTGTGCTTAGAAATCAGGCTGACATCTGTTAGCAGTGCTAACATTTGATACAGTTAAGCACCACTTTGAATGGGCCTGTACAAAATAAAGGAAATGCTAAAACTATTGAAATGCACAAAGAACAAAATTCTACTATGAACAAAACACAAATACAATTAAATTTGATATATGTATATGGCAAAACCATTTGAACAAGATCTGAATTTTAATAAAAATAGAAAAAAATGTAAGGGAAATAAATATTCAGGAAGAGGAACACACCAATGAACTATAAAATAGACCTAAAGGATTAATTTTGATAAGTGTTACTAAAGTTTATCTTCACAAGAAGAATTGCTTCTTCTTTTTTTTATTTTTAGATCAGATTAGATGAGATACAAACACCAAAAACAGTAAAGAGTCTCTGTAGTTTATCAGTCATCAAACACAAGCAGTATTCACTAAAGGAAGAGGGCAAAGGTTTCCACCACATAAGGTTATCCTGTGCCACACAAACGTATTCCCACCCTAGTAAATGTTTTTCGCATTTTGTCACGTTACAACCACAAAGTATTCCCACAATCTAAACCCAGGTGCAGATTTTTGTTTCCATACGTCTGTTTGATATGTCTGGAAGATGAAGAGGTTCTCCCGGCTCATTAATTTGCACTGAAAGCATGAAACTCTCCGAAAAATCATTTCACCGAGAGGCCAATCCAGGCCCAATAAGCCGCTAACAGATGTGTTAGAGGCTTATCTGAACCTGTGACTGAACTGGTGGAATAAGAAATATTTACATATTCATCGCTTCTGGAGTGAGCAGCAGGTAGCAATCAGCTCCTCTTGTGCAGCCTCAAATAGGCAAACACACTTTGCCAACTGTGGAACAACAGCAACCCTTTAGAAGCCCTGAAATCAGGTTTCTTTTTTGTAATAGTCCATTTTTCAGGAAGCTGGTAAACCTGTCCAAATTCAACTGGTCTGTGTACCATTAATGGGCTGTTTTTGGTTTATTATTTGTGCTTAGGTGCACCTTAATGATGCATAGTATGCTTTTATTGTTTGTATTTAGTGAGAGACTTAGTAGTAGCATCTTA